ACACGCAACTTTGAATTACTGTCTTCACGGAACAACGTATACTATTAAATTCCTTCCACGGCGTAAGGTGTACGATCTTTTCCGGTGTGACCTTTGTAAAAATTGACATCCTCACGAGCCTCTTTCTACATTATTTTGCTGTTCTCGCATTAATCATGATTTAGAAGGAGAGGCCCGGGGGACGGGGGGGGGGGGGGGAGAGAAGCACACTCTTTCTGGAGCCAGAAGGGCGTTAAATCTGTATGAAGTATATGAGTTAACGTCCTTCTTGCTTCAAACAAACGGCATCATGTTGATCTGTACAGACTGACTCGAACATGTCCCTTAATTAGGAGACAAATGACAGGTACATTGATAACACAGGGGCGGCTCCGGGATTTAAAAAAAAGGTGGGATGGTTCAATTATCCCCCTCCAAAAAAAGGGGGGGGGGGCTATCGTGGTTTAAAGATGATTTAATCCCTGCATACAATAATCTCGTGAGATGAGAAAGAAGAGGGAATTTCGATACAGAAGTCACTTTGAAATTTGAAATTTGTAATGAAAATGTAAGAAATATTCGTATCCACGTATCCATTAATTATTATCTATGCTATCAACTTGTCAAATTTATAGCTATATTGAATAGGCTAATTATTGGAGGTTCCAGATTATTGTGATGCATAGATCTACATTGATCTGTTTCTTGTAAGTGTTTTTATCTTTTTATATGTTTATATTTTATTTTTTCAACTTTATAGGTAACCCCAACTAGATTTAATAAGAAAGTCGTTCGATAACAATTTTGTCAAAACAGTCTGCAATTGAAATAACAACATGCATGGATTAGATGAAAAGATGTCCTGGAGGTGAAAAATTGCCACTTGAACGATTAAAATCGTTTCCGTGACGGTCATAATCATTACTCTTTACTTTTTATTTAGAACTTGTTCATAATTTGGCATTCGTACGTCCATACATTTCAGAAATTTCAATCGCTCTTCACGCGAATTCATTATAAAATTCTATACACACAAAAAGTCATTGAAAATTAATGGTAACACCCACGCAAAACTTCATCTTTCATCTTTGTTATCTCTCGAGGCGCTTCATGGCATTTAAGTGCTTGTCCTCTCCACTCTCTCTTCTCTTGTTTTCTTTCCTTCTTTGTCTATCTCTTTCTATATGTCTCTCCCTCTCTCCACCTCTCATCCTTTAGGAGCATTGAGGGGAGAGGGGGGCATTTCATTGCTTCATGTTTCCTGCTTCTCTCCCATCATAGCCATCATCATAATCATCATTGTTATCATCATAATCAATCATCACCATCACTATTATTCTCTTCCCTTTCCTCTCATCATCATCATCATAATACACCTATCTATCTTATACAATTATATCTATTTACATGATCTACATATACATGTATCTTTCTCCACCTTCACACTCTCCTCTTCCTTTCCACCAGCTAACGTTTTTTGTCTGAAATGAAATCGTTTCCCGCTTGACATGGCTCCAGGCCATAGGAGTAATCAAGCAACGCATATCGTGAGAGCTCCGTTGAACTTGCCCCTGCAACACTCGCTCGGCGTTCACGATCTAGAAAATATCGTGAACTCTTGACATTTCAGCTTCTTGTATTGGGTTCCGTGCTACCTGTTCAAAACAATGCACGTTTAACATAAACAGGCTTTGGGGGAACTTAATAATGACAATAGGGACTTTTAGATTTGCACGTCGACATAGTGGACTGCTACGTGTGACGTCTTTTTGAGGCACAGACAGGCACAGCCAGTGTTGAAGGAGTGTTGAAGGAGGCGCAATGGCTCCGGGGTAGAGCAGTGGTCTCGTAACCGGGAGGTCCCGAGTTCGAAACCAAGGCGATGCATGAGCTCGTACCCATTGGTAAGGAATTGATCATCATCACCGAGTCCCTCGGAGAGGACTTCAAGCTGTTGGTCCCCTGGTTGATTACCTACAAGCATGCATGTGCTTATTTACCAGTCAGATAAAAGAAACGAATTAAATGTTTCCTCTTTGCGATGGGATATACACGTGATGAATGTGCCTGGAAAATCAACGTTAATGCGACTATCAGATTACGAAAAGTTCGTGACTCAAACACGAACCTTCCCCCTTAATAAACAACTATCCTTCTGGTTGTTATTGCAATTGTCATAACGACGTCACGCAAAAACAGCAGCTAAAAGACTTGGTATAATATGATATAAGGATGGGATTTGTAACGAGGAACTATATTTGCTGCAGGCTTACTCATATTACTGCACGATTTTCATTCATTGTGCCCGTGCAGTCGATCTCACAAGACCGTTTCATACCATGCAGGCGTCATTTTCTTTAGTTACCTGTGCTTGCATGCAGCACTTATTCAGCAATCTGTCTCCACTGTTAAATTTGTAGTGATCCTCAGTTTCAGTTTCTTTTATTTCACATGAAAAACAATACATTAACAAAACATAGCATATTGACAAAATGTATACTCATGAACAATAAAGATCCGCTTTTATGTGTAAAATAAAGAGCAGCGGGCCGAGAAACGACCCTTGTGGTACACCACATGATTTGCCTTTCCGCTTTTATAGGCCACAAATACAGCAATGCTTTCTGAAATGTGGTCGTACAAACTACATGTACAGTCAGGGAGATAAAATCTGATTCTGTGTTCTAATTTTGATTGGATTTTGTCGTTTGAAGAGAGTTTGGAGGGGGAATAAGCAGCACGGATTTCTAGATTTGATGAGTCATTCAATATTGGAGCACAACACTCGAGACTAGCCGGAAATCGACCGAATTCGGCTCATTTGACTGGTTGCCATGGTGACTTACCGTTCCTCAAATCTCGAGCCTCACAACCGCAGATAATCTCAGAATCAAGAACTTAATTAAGCAAGGACCAGAGGTACTATTGATATATCATTTCCGCTGTGTGGGCGAGTTTGGATAAAAATATAATTACCATGAACGTGGTATAACACCAATCATTTGTTTCTGTTTAATGCGAGGTTGATATTTTTCAGTAGCTGTGGTAGAATATAAAGATTTTGATTATAACATTTGTGAACTTCTTGTATATGCAATAAACAAACAATTCCCAAATAAATAATCCTTGATGAACCGTTAAAATGAGATTATTTAAGCAAACATAAAAGCACATAATTGAACAAAGACAAAGATGTAAATAATGACGAATTGCAAGTTGACACACTTATATTGCTGAAGATAAAGTAATTAGCATCGATGTATGTATTCCCCCATGTAGTATTCCAAACCCCCCTTTTGAAACACGGTCGTGTTTACAAATCCATCCTTTCAGGGTTATAAAATTGTGTATTACAACACAGATTTTATTAATTTATTTATCTATGTAATGTATTTATTTATTGATTTATGTATTTATCCATTATATCTTGCTTTCTCCCAATCAAATCAAATCAAATAATGATGAAGTTTCAACTCTATATTAACATACATACACATGATAGTTTGAAGTTAGCTTTGGTACAATGACCACCAAAATATATCCACAGATCTTTTACACAATCATGGAGACGTCCCACTCTGTGCATTTTAGAACAACCACTGTCTAAGTGATGGAATTGCTTCATGAAAACCTTTTGTTTGCCCCCTTGAGAAGAATACCTTAATAGACATGCGTATCAGAGAATGTACCATCGGTGAATAACTGAATAAATGAATAATGATTACACAGCCTTCATGAGCACGAATCCAGTATTCGTCTCCGTGGGTTTTACAGTTTGGTGTAAATGACCTTTATCTGCCCATGCATGCATGCGCAGATTGTAAATCAGCACCCAACTCGTGTCTTTAGGTCTCGTGTTTGTCAGGCAGCCCAACATAAGATTTAATCATTTTCTCAGATTATTAATAACCATCTTCAGCACAAAGATTGCAATTACGCAATCTAAAGAATCGGAACAGCTGCACTGTCCTTTTTATACAGACAAAGGCAAAAAAAAAAAACCAACAACAAAAACGACTCAAGAGAAAATAAAATATAATCCGGTTTCCGAACCTCTCCCTGATATGCGTCTAAATCACATTATTTTCCGCGTTATGTTTCCATGGAAACATTTACCATGGTGATGAGGATAAGGCAAAAGTAAAGGGCATCTACGTAAGAACAGACCTCTTATTTATTATTGGACACTTATAACCATCATTGGCAACCCGAGTCTTCTTAGATTTTTTTATAAATTATCCTTCAGGGATATTATTATTTTTATTTTTTCGTAATTGAATTCAGGAAGAGGGAGGGAAAGGGTGAGAGGGAGAGAGAGAGGGAGAGAGAGGAGAGAGAAAGAGAGAGAGAGAGAGAGAGAGGGGGGGGGAGAGAAGAGACAGAGGAGGTGCGTGGAATCTTTGGACCACACGCCACAAGGACGTTCGCTCAAACCATTTAAACGTAGAATTAAAGTCTCTATAGCTCTCAACAGACCTATGCATCCCTGCAATAGATTGAGACGGGGTATATCATCGGGTAGGGAAGGGAATTTGATATCATTTAATGTTTGTAATATTTTGTGCATGTTTATTCATATTTCGTGTTTTATGTTTTTATCTTTCTTTTTCAACTCTAAGAAAACAGTACCTTTATAGTTATTAATGGCTCTATATAGACCAATCCAGATGTACCATTTCTGAAATACTAATTTGTTCATGTATATGGTAATGCCGGCGAGCACTATTGCAAATTCATTTCGCGCACTACTTCTACTATTTCTACCACTACTAGCTCTATTCCTTATGTTGTGAGTTGTTTTTAATCCAGTTCTTAAAGTCAATTTCAATATAAGTCGTCCTAACCCCAACAAATAAGACCTTATATTTTCTTTATAATTCCATTTGATCCCGCATTGCGCGTTTGAATGAAAGATGTTTCCCGTATTATGCTATATTACTAACGAGATAGTGATAGTATCGACAAAAGATAAGCACTAAACATATGATTTTTCATTTTCCCTTCTCTTTTTTGTCTTACAGATGTGTCAGAATCACAGATACAGGGGTTGGATTCCTCGCCACCATGGGATGTTTGAGGGCGCTATACCTCCGATGGTGCTGTCAGGTTCAGGATTTTGGACTTCAGCATCTGTACGGCATGAAGAGTCTTTTGGTGCTCTCCGTTGCAGGTAAGGTTATGACAAAAGGATACTCTATCGACGTAGGATGTGAAATCAGGTTATGATCCAGGAGAGGGGGGGGGGGGGGCAGATCCAGGAGAGGGGGCACGTTCATGTTATAACATACCATGAACACATAAAAGCTATAAATGCTCACAACATTGTATTTACCCCTCCCCCTTCCCCAACGGAAAAAGATTTTATACCTTTGGCATTTCTGAGATTTTCAGACCGTTGCCTATTGAGTTCCTGTACGTCGGTGAACAGTATTCAACAACATTGGGGCAAGGGTTAGCGTTGTGGTAATTTTTTTTGGAAACATTCCTCTACACCAGCCTTACTGATTAAATAATGCCACATACTAAGGAACACAACGTTATTATAGGCCTATCACTAATAGGGCTAAGAAAATGCATGCAGATCCTTGATGACAGACAGATAATTCAAAGGCTTTAAAACATTTTCCTGACCTATTTCTATTCAAGTTTTTATAATTCATTTTCCATTTTTTTCTTTCTAGGTTGCCCTCTTCTCACTGCGTCGGGTCTATCAGGTCTTGCCCAGCTGAAACAAATGGAGGAGTTAGAAGTCACCAACTGCCCCGGAGCATCCCCGAAGCTGCTCCAGTATTTCTCTGCTAATCTGTCTGCTTGCATCCTCATCCATTGAGCCACTTTGTGTACGTCCCCAAAATGAAAAGAAGAAAAGCCCCTCTCATAGTAATCGGTCGACTTACTTTTGCCGGCTTAAATGGCTCAAGTCGTAGAGAACTCGGGAACAACTCTGCATAGCTCGCCACAAGTCGTGCTGACTCATTACAAGCTTTTGAACTCATTTACTAGTGTGTATATCTCAAGGAGGAAAAGATGAATAGCTCCTTCCATACCTTGCCAGAGTTGGTGCAGAGTTTTAAACCCCGAGCTAGCTCGGCAAATCGCAGAAAAATGTGAAACTCCATGCAGGTAACGCCCTCGAGCTAACAACTCGGGGATAGATCGTCATGTCTCGTGGTTTTTTCAAACACGTTACAAATACACATTCACGAAGTGACGGTAGTGAAAAAAAATTGCATTCACTTTGCGTTACGATTTTCCTCACTACCGTCACTTCGTGAAAACAAGGACGTAGTGTCTATTTCCGAGCTCGGGGTCGTTAGAGCTCGGAGAAGTTGGTAAACCGATCGGGATAGCTCGGCATACTTCGTAGCAACTCGTACTTACTCGTACACTTTATGCACGCATTAAATCAGACTCGAACTACCTAATAAATAAGACGCACCCCGCGTGCAACAGAGCTCGGAAAAGAGCGCCAACTAAATCTAAAAGTTAAAGTCGAAGTAAAGGTTACCTTCACACCTTATTCAATGTAAAAATACAATTTTTATTTTATCAGTACATTCCCACCAATATTCTCTCTCATAACTTTTTGCACGATCTAAGAAGTTGCTCATTAATTGAGGAGTAAACCCCCTTTTATTCACCACAAATCCTAAAACAATTAACATGGCACCGATCGGGTTAATATAGTTTATTCGTTTTTGCAATGTTTGAAAGTTGAAAAAGTAAAATGTCGTCAAGCTGCAGCATTTGTGTTTCTGTTGAGGTATTCCTTTCCCCGATTCGTTTGATTCATAGTATAAATAGTTTCAGAGTCGGCAGCCATTTCAAATTGAGATGGCCATCGGTAGACTAATATTGCAATGTTGTTTCAAATGCTTTCCCGTTTAGAAGCCGTATGCTCTAACCCCATGTAACAAGGGGTTCTTCTTTATAATATGGATGGGTCATGAGGGGGTCATGATAGTTCCCCTGCACCCTTTTACTCCCTCCCCTTTGAGAAGAAAAACAACAGAACAGAAATTTTCTTTTAACCTCCGGACCTGCTTGTGCGAAAGAGAAAAAAAAACGAAGTTATGGAATTATGTGATAATGATACCAAACAGTGGTGACGATAAGAAGCAATATTAACATGATGAAGGAGCGAAGAAGAGAATTATTGAAATTGTAAAAGTAAATGTTAGACGGGGAAAAAGAAAACGGGGGAGAAGAAAAGATGGGGAAGCTAGAAAAGACAAGAAGATTAAGAAGTTTCTGATGGTGAGGAGAAGAAGAAAGCATGATGAAAAAAAGGGGGAGAGGATGATGGAGGAAGCAAGGGAGGAAAGTGAATGGGAAGAGAAAGAAGAGGTAAAGATGAAAAATTGAGAAGAGATGATGAAGGTAATTACGAAACTCTGGAAAAATGGAAGAAAGAAGCACAATTGAAACCCGTTAAACGGTTTGGTTTAAATCTCGAGGGAAAAATTAGTCTTACATGAATAAAACATCTCTCGTAACCAGGCAACATAAGTGGCGAAAGAGCAAACGCAATATTGCATTTGATTTGTATGCTTTTCCTGTCAGTCAATATCAACCATGCATTGACGTTTCTGTCAAAGAATCAGACACATTTTATATTCATATAGTTATGAAGATTATCTCGTTTTTATTTTGTGAATAATATATAATGCTATTAAATTTTATTGAGAGAATTTCTTTTTCCATCAGATGTATATAATCATTATCATTGTCATTATGATTCTATGTTGCTTTATTTTCTGCTTTGTGTTTTCGTTATTATGCAAATCATTGATGTAGGTTGTTTCTTTGTTTGTCATTATTATATTCATCCAGTCGAGGAAGTGCTTAATGTTGTATGCGGAATTCAATTCACGGGAACGGGTGAACATGGTTAAAAAGAAGAAAAAAAAAAATCTTCCATTTGACATCGAGCTTTGTCTTCTCTGACTTCATGGCGTAATCGCCACTCTCATAGCTATATCAAAATCACTGACTGTATATTTATCAATTTTTTGTGCAATATAGATTTCTTGTTTTCTTGCTGGACAAGACTGTGTCTCCGTGGCTCTATTTTGTTTTCAAACTACTTAACGATATAATAAGACTTATTGATTCACGATACGTAGCAACAAATTGAGATTCATAAATTGGGTTATTACTTAGCGTGAATGCATACTCAACATTCTTCCTAATATGATAACTTGTATCGCGGTCGCGAAGACTTTCGGGAAATCAACCTTGAGCAATTTCAGTAGCCTTGCCCATCACCTATATTGGAATGTGCCAACATTACAATGAAGTATTACGTAATCCGAAATTGATTTCTTAGGGACATTAAAGTTGCCATTGAGTTGATTTTTCGAGAGTCTTTGCGATCGCATTGTGTGCAAATTTTAACTTCATGTGGGTGAGAGTGCAAGTTTCAACTTGGCATTTCTGCCTGCAAAGAAGGGAGAAATATAGTCGTATCGATTTATACAGGTAAAATGTGCAGATCTATTGAAAGAGGAAGAAGTATGTTGATGTCACAATTCGTTAACGCACATCTATGTTTAAATACTCGTATATCAATAAGTGAAACATCTTGCCGAGACTGCAATGATTAAGGCAAAAATTGTGTGCTACGTATTGATTAAAATAGATATTGCGTTGATTGAATCATGCCATTGACTCTGCTGCCGTTCAGTGGCAATCTGTATAAAACTGTAAACGATGTAGAGTACATTTTATATTTTATTAAGTAAATTCAAAGACAGTGCAATTGTAATGACACTTATCTCGCATTGCTCGAATTTATGTTTTTCGAGATGCATTTGTGATGACTTTAATGTGAACCGATATAGCCTAGATTTTGTACAAAACTACGATGTTAAATTCAGCCGTGGTAGGCCTATAGCCTTGCAAGTTGTGGGCATACATTATCATTCATCGTGTATTTCCAGCATTTTCCGCATTTCCCGGTAATTTTCAATATCATTCAAAACCACCGTCCCAACTTGTCTTTTAAGCACTGTAAAAATCAACACATTTGTCTCGTTATAGACGCATGGTGTAAATAAATAATCGTTAATTTGGTTACCTCACCAACACCACAATTGAATTCATATGATGTCATATATACATACATAGGAGGTGCTATATTTGACTCGAAATGTATTGATTGTGCCCTAAATCATTTGTGTTCACCAATTCGTGTATAAAAAAAACTATAAACGAAAAGATTGTCGGCAAAAAAAAATAGAACATGCATATTGTTGTCTTACTTGTATTTACACCAAAGTAGCGCGCTCACAAATACAGAGACATATTTTAAAATGTCTAATTGTAGCTCAACATTTCTTAATATCTTTGTGCAATCGTTAAGTAGAGCATCCTTGAGAGTATTTTAAAATCACGTGTAAACTCGTATGAATTCGGCTGTGAGGCTGTACATAATTAGTATTCACGTATTAAAAAAAAAAGGCTTTTAAAATATGAATCATCTCTGTGCTCGATGGATGATAAACCTAGAAACTATTTTAAATTTAATTCAGGACAAAAAAGGTGCGAAAGGTCATACGAAGATGTAAAATTCATTGTATAATATTTAGCTTTAGTCAGGTCCCGCAAAAGGTCATGACCCTTGCACACGAGGCGTCAGTTGGATTGCGTCATGAATGCGCTAATAAAATCAATCGCGCTAATGAATCATGGGAAGAAACTGAGCGCATCGACGCGGGGAATGCCTAAATCGATGCCTCTATTTTGTGCAACGGGCATTTACGACTTAGAGTAACTTTAAAAATTATATAAGTAAGTTAATCTTTGATGGTGCAATGAGATAACTAAGCTTTACGAAGAGGCTAAATTTATTTATTGGACATATTGCAATCGTGTTGAATTACTTGAATGACCCTGCTTAGTTTGGGGGTCATGTATAAAAAGAAAGAATTATTGACCACCGTGGACATGAGATGACAATTCACTTATACTTTGATTTTTATATGACTGGTTATTTTCCGTTGAAGTGTAATTTATTCAGAAATGTGTTATCTTTATTGTAATGCCTACAAAAAAAAACTTACAAAGCTTTAGACGATTGGTAGATGTCTTGTGTTTTATTTGTAAAATTGTGAAAGTATTCTTGAATTCTATATATTATGAAGATATCATGTCTACAGAAGTTATCCATTAAATTATGAGTATAATGTGACCAAAAGAAGAAGGAAATTAGTAGCTCGACTTTTATTTACTTTTTGTAGTGTATTTCAGTGGTATTTGGTGAATACTAAGATCGGACCTATAATTACGGCCGGAAAGAGGGAGAGACTGAGGGAGGCTGAGAGAGAGAGGGAGAGAGGGAGAGAGAGAGAGAGAGAGAGAGAGATGGTAACAGTGTTTGTGAGATGGGCGGGGACAGAGAGAAGGGGGAGAGAGAGAGAGAGAGAGAGAGAGATAATGCATGTGTGAGAGGGGTGACACGACATTTGCTCCTGCGACAATTGCTCCGGGCTTTATTTCGTCTAAGATGTAGGGTTAGGGTTAGGGTTTCAATAGGGTTTTATGTTAGGTTTAGGGTTAGGTTTAGGGTAGGGTATAGTGTTGAATCCAGGGTTGAAGTTAGCCATTCGATTAGTGTATGAAATTTACAGCGGAGCAATTGTCGCCGGAGCAAATGTCATGGAATCCCGAGAGGAAGATGAGGAGGGAGGGAGAGATGCTGGAGGAGAGAAGCCCACAGAAAGACATGGGGATGTGCAAAGAGAAAGAGGGATACAAAGTCAATGAAGTGGGAGAAAGGAAGGAGGGAGAAAGAGCATATGGAAACGTTTGCTTGTATTTGTCTCATAAAAGAATTTGAGCACGAACTGACTCCATCACGGTGTTGAGTGCTCAGGGGTCACAGGCCACTGGCTTCATTGGGCAGGTAGTTCCATTATGTGAATGGGTAAATTAACTATTACAAAATGAGGGGACACATTACATTGTACAATGGGGACACACATTGTTTTTATTGTGCAGAACATACTCTTTTATTAACTTACTTATTGCATAAAACTATAAAACCAAAATGCATTTTGTATTCTAACAATTGGAGTACAAAGAATAATAACAGGTGAATGAAATGCATAAACACCACAAACACCTGGGGAGGAAGCATTCATAAATTTGAATACATTATAGTTGATAAACGACTCCGATGAAACTATAAAACCAAAATGAAATTTGCGTTCTGGCAATTGGAGTACAAAGAATGATAGCAGGTGAATGAAATGCTTCAACAGCAACACAAACACCTGGGAAGCTAGGAAGCATCCATAAATTTGAATAATTTAGTTGATAAACGACTCCGCATGTGGACGTTTGTTGGAGCAGAAAGCAGTGGATTCTTAACAACCCGAACCCATTTAACAGAATGTCGGAACGTAAATTAAATTTGACGAGGTTGGAAAATGCATCTTTCTACCCTGCGACTTTAATGGTACGATCCAGTAAATCAAAACAGTAAAATGGCTTTTATTTAAAAATTACTCATTAAATAAAACCCAAAACTTCAGTGATGTCAGAAAAAATATGTTATATCTTACTAAAAATTAAAAAAAGATGTATAAACATTGTGAAAGTGTCGCATTTTACGATAAAAGACACCGATTAAGCAAAGACCACGTCATTAGTGCGCTTGCATCAGGGAATTTAAGGTCAAAAGGTCAATTTAGACGCTGATAAGTTGTTGGTCGAGCATTTTTGTTTCCTTTATTCCGACAAAATTATACAATCAATCAAAATAAGTTTGATACCAGAAGTAAGCTAACGATTAGTATTTTCATTAACCGCTTGCCCCAAAGTCTCTTGACCACAGTGAAACGAGTGAGAGCTTGCGAGAGCGGCCAAAGTGTGATTGAAACTCGCTATTTGCTCTTCTCCAACGCAAAAAGAGACGACATTGTGCTGGATAAATGTATTTTTTCCGACAAAAGTACAGAAAATTCGCATATGGTCTTTTTATATTATACTTTATGAAATGTTACCCGAGTGACTTCCGGGCGCCCCAATGCTGGAAAGAAACGCACATTTTAGAAAACTTCACTTTTTCATGGAAAATGCTTATTTGTTCTATGCACGCAAGTCAGATTGAGCGTATGATACAAAGTGTGACGATTGGAGAGAGACAGTGAAAGAGAGAGAAAGAAAGAAAGAGAGAAAGAATGTGAGATAAAGAGAGAGAGAGAGAGAGGGAGATAAAGGGAGAGAGAAAAAGGAGAATGCCCTTTTCCTTGATCTGATTCAGTTAGTCCCACTGCAGGACCTAGTTAGACCAGCACCCCCCCCCCCCCCCCCCCCCCCCCCCCCCCCCCCCCCCCCCCACTCAGTGTTATTTAGGGTACGCATATCTGTTCCCTCATTAAATGAAAACACCTTAAGTCCGGTGTGTATAAAAGTCAATACGTATACGGGCCGGATTTTTTGTGTACTACGAGCCGGACTTTGGTGCGTGAAAAGTACCCCTTTACCGGACATGTTGGGAACACGCATGATATCCCTCCGTTCACGGAGTGGGGGGGGGGGGGGGGGGGGGACCAGCCCAGGGACCAGCCCGGGGACCAGCACGTAGCCTACCGATCGAATTCAAAAGACTTTTTGAAGGGGCGCCTATTAAAGACAAATTTCCCGATAAGTCAGCCACACTGGACAGTTTAACCATTTTCAGCCTCTCCATGGTCACCAATGTAAATTAAAAGATTTTTTTTAGATTTGCTAAGAACCCTTTGAATGAGGATATGCCATTGAGACGCGTGTATTGAATATATAACAAGTGTTTCAAATAGTCGGTCTCATTGCTCTCTCTGAACTCTGCACTCCTCATGCTCATAATAATTTGCCAATTTAGGTTTGTCGCCCTCTGTCGATTTTAAGAGAGCATTCTTCGCCTGTCGCCATTTTATTCACCTTCCAGAAATTTTTACGCTGAACAAAGTCACAAAATTCAGCAAAATGGCAGGTAGAAGGGTCGGAAAGTCTGTTGTAGACTGGGCAGCATTCGTAGAAAGAGTTCCACCAAATCAGAAGAGTCAATTCAATAGCTTGAAGGGTAAATTCGACGCCTTGAATGTCAGGTAAATCTCTCTTATGAAACCTCGACCCAGTTAATTTTTCCTGTCCCACTAACTGGCTTTGGTGTTGGATCCTAGGAAGGTTTTTTTTTTCTTTCTTGCGCACATGATAGGGGCATCATTTATGGCCGGTATAGCCATGATTGTCTTCACATTTTATTACCTCATTTATATGATATTATAATGATATTTTTCAATTAATCATTGGTGTGTGTGTTCAGTGTTTATTAGAATAAATGTGATCAACATTTTAACAAACGCAAAAGCCAAAACTAAGACAAGAATGAAAAAAAAATTAAGTTGACTGTTTTCTTTTATGATTTATCTGTGATTTCTAATTCTTGAATGTCTTGTCTGAACAGTCTAACACTTATGTATGTATGCTTGCACTTGTGTGTATGGGTTTTTATGTTTGCACGGCATGGATCAAGGTTTTTTACTAACAAATTATAGCTGGGTAGCACACAAAAAGTGACAGATTCCATACTCGCGAGTCACAGCGACCACGTAATGCACATAATGAATACGTTTTAATTTAAAATGTAAATACCAGTGGCATTAGTTGTTATTAGGGCTGCAACATGTAGTTGAATGCTCGAGTACCCGCACTGTTGACAACTACTAGAGTACGATTTCTCGTACTCTATTATTTGGCCACAAAAAAAAAAAAAAAAAAAAATCCCGGTCACCTGGCACTGTCCAGGCCGACGCTTAACCGTGCCAGGGAGAGCGCCAGCCGCCAGCATGGTATCGTGGGTAAAAATGTTTCCAGCTCAATCACTCTCAACTCACCACTCAGAAACTGGGACCAAATGTCCGGATTTCTGTTTGGACTTGGAGGTAAAGTCATCTTTGGTTTTTAAAACACCGTTGTTTACTATTATTATTATTAAGTCGGCGCCTTCAACTGCAACTCGAAGTAAAATAGCGTGGGTTTTCGGAGACGGACCTGGGATATTTCTACCGTAGTATGTATGGTGGTGGCAAAAAACAAATTATAAAAAGAATTGCCACCACCACACTACTACGGTATAAATATCCCAGGTCCGTCTCCGAAAACTCACGCTATTTTACTTCGAGTTGCAGTTGAAGGCCCCAATTTTTGTACATGTATGTAAATTCCTACCTCAAATCCTCAGATACATGTAGTTTCAACATATTTCATATTGTTTCACCATGTAGATGTAGTATCTATACGTAGGAATTATTATCATTATTATTTTCTCCAGAATGAGTCAAATGCCAGAGCAAGCCGCCACCCCCAACTGGGCTGCTTACAAAAAGACAGTACCTGTTGCTGGACTGGTCGACAAATTTGAGAAAGAGGTAAACATTTTTCATTTTCTACCTTTTCACATGATATATTGTATTGTATTATTGTATGTTAGTATTTAGTTAAAATAAATTTGAAAGACAAAATAATATAAACAATGATAATAGTAATAATAATAATGACAATTTAAAATTTTAATTTGAGCAAACAAATACACTCAACTACCTATAAGAATGAAACATGAACAAAAGCAGAAACAAAAGCCAAAATAACATTAGTTTACATAAAAAACACAATATGTCAATGTATGATATTTGAAATGCCAGACAGACAGACATGTAAAGTGCCAATGCTGCTTGTCACACATGGACTTATCAATAATAATAATAGGTCCATTTATATAGCGCGGTCAGTATATGAATATACTCTACTGCGCTTAATACAAAGTATCATATTATTACCCTGGCTGTAGCTGAGCTGCCATAATAAGGCGCTAAAACATTCAAGGAATTTCTTCCTACCGGGTACTCATTTACATCACCTATATGATATGGCTGCAATGATAAAATGGTTGTCATCTAAGGATGAGGGTTGAACTCAAGTGCTTCAGGCCTCTAGAACTGTGTGATAATTTTCCTGTACATACTGTTGCCTTGATATTTAAAAAAATATGATAATTATTGCGTGAGTGCTTGCTAACACAAATGTAACATATCCTCTATCAGCCATTGACATGTTTGGAAATATCGCGTGTTTACATTTTCTGGAAAACTGATGTGATGTTATGATTGTTAAACAATTGCATGATATTTATATTTATCAGAATATCTTGTTTTTTTTCATAACTTGTACGCAGTAATGAGATGAATTCATTTACCAAACCTCATGTTGGTATATCTTTTTCCTTCTAGTTCAGTGCACTGAAGGTTCCATACCCAGCTGATACACAGTCTGATCACATCAACAAGCAGGAGAAAGAAATGGTAAGCCTACAGAAGAATATCAATAAAATCAAGTTTGTTTCATCTGTTTGCAGTCAAAAGGGAATAAACTTGTGTGCTCGAAGAGATAACACCCTCTGGGCTCTGAACAGAGGATTTGTGAGTTATGCTATGTGCAAATGCTAAGACATATAAGAAAGAAATTAGTGAAAAGACAATGCAGAATGTTGTAGATTTAATTACTTTCAATTGTGCTAGAAACATGTAGTTGCTTGACCTTGAATTTGCCATTTGACCTTCAGAAATGTTGTCCCTACAGAAATTTTAATGTAGCAGATATTTCGAAGTATAATCTTCTCATACTGTGAATGAAAGTGTGATTTTTAGGATTTATTTGACATATACAGCCCTTCCCTTCACCATCACCATCAAAATTAGAAGGTATATTCAGAAGATTATGCAGACATCACACACAATTTTAAAACTTGATCTGTTTCACGACATTAATGTAAATTTTCAATGACATTTATGATCTGTCATGTGCTGTTAATCTCTCTCTCTCTCTTTTCTCTCATTTTCGATGAGGACTTTGAAAATGTTGCTGCAGTTTAGGATTGAGCATTAAATGTTTTTGCTCGTTTTTATTTTCCAGGATGTGATGGCAGCAGACTTTGTCAAGGCTTCAAATGAGCGCATTGCAAAATACACACAAGAGGTAAGATTTAAACTGCATACCGCTCTTAACCCTCTCAAAATAGATTACAAAAACATTTCACATTTAATTTATCTCATCAAATTAGCTCTCAACTAACATTAAAAAAAGGGGACCAAGGGGGATCAACGGGTACCACTTAGGTAGTGTTGGCTATATATAGAGGCTTACAAGTAGTGCAGTCACTCTTTAAACTGTTAAAAATATGTAAGATAAGAATTAATGCCTTATGAAAATATTGTTCTTGCATAGCACTTTAGTCTTTTACATTTGTGTGGATTAGATTGTGTGGATTACAACCATGTAACATGTTATAGTTGCAACACACAATCTAATAAAACTTCATATCATTTATATTAAACTGCCTCATAATTCACGAATCATCTCCTTCATGAGAAGCTGATAGAAGTGTAGTTGAAATCAAGTTTCTGAAATCACCAATCTCTAATTTAGAAGTTGTTTGTTTGACGATGATTCTTAAATGACTTCATTATTTCACTGAAATTAAAATTAGAAAGATGCTTGTTACCAGGTCATGTTTTCATGTAGCCATCGCAAGTACAAGTTTGCTGACCTTCCATTGAAACACACATTAAAAATAGCAAAAAGGGCATTGCAGGGGATTGTTGACAAAGTTGTGTTTGTGTCGGTTTCATGGATGCGGTTCTTTGTCTGCAACTTGCTCATCGACAATTCTTTTCTGTTTGCCGTCTCCCCCCCCCCCCCCTCACAGTTCAACAAGCTTGAGAGCATGATACCCTTCGAGGAGCTGACGATCGAGGAGTTTGATGAGATGTTCACCGAGGGCAAGAAGATGAAGGAGAAGTACCCATGGTGGCCACACATCAACCTTGCAGAGTTATAACCTCAACATACCCTCAACCTAGACCAATGATATCTTAAAATGCTAAAGAGATTTATTCAAGCATGTATGCTTTGCCATTTCCTGAAAAAGCCCTCATTTATTTGTCAGAGAGGTCCAATAATTTTCGGAGTGAGCTCTTTGTGTCCCAAAGAAATGTCCAAACAAATTATTTTGGGATTTACATGTACATAACAAAGTGCTGTGGACGTGTACTTTAGTTCATACTACACTTTGTATTGCACATTTTAAAGAGCTTTCTAAAGGATGGTCTACTTTTGATAAATATGTATAATATATCATTTCGTCGATCTTTTACAATCTCACCCGCTTTGAAAAAGATCAGAGAGTAATATGATCAAGCTCTTTGTGCATATACCATGAGTGAATGACTGTATTCCTTTAACAATTTCTCATGCTTTAAACTCCATGGCCTCCTTTATTTTGGTCCAAAATGATTGAGAATATGATTCAAATTAAATCTCATTCTGTGTAATTTACTGTGGCTATCCCCAATATTTGTAGATGGTTACAGATGATGGTTTGCAGATTTGGAATGATAACATGGGGACAGAGTGAATGCTTGTTACATTGAGAATGTGTCTACATATTTTATTCAATATTGGAATAAAGCTGATATAACTTGAAAACGATATTGACCTGATTCATGCATTCATTTTTAATGTGTAGTGAAAGACAAATAAGATATGTATTTAGTCCTTCATCTTCTGTTTTCTCCTTTTTGTTTTCATTTTGATAGTGTCAGGGCACCATCCCGAAATAGTAAGAACGCGATAAAACACACTTCTGAAACTCTGGCCTGCTTATGCCTAGGTCATGCCGTGGATTTTAAAGACCGTACTGGACCCTTCTGATTTTTCATTTCTACGGCATGTGTGGTCACATATTCTGCGCCTTCATTCTCTATACATTTCCAGATGATGTTTAAAGACAAAATATCCAATGCAATCTACCAACATCATGCACTTTCAACAATTCTCACACTTTCATAAATTCTCACAAACATAAATCAACCAATTTTTTCCATTTCTGTAAAAGTGCTTTCAAAGGTTTCAATCAGGCAAAGGTGAATAATACCTATTCTTCAGTCACACCGGCCACCAAACTTCCATGCTGCTTCCAAACCAACTGATTCTTGGCCATTGCTGGGGAGTGTTTCACAAAGACTAAGATTGACTTTAAGTTGGACTTGACTATGGCAGGCCGTTCATGCCACTGTTTTCTCTCGCCATTTCCTGGCATTGGTTTCTCAAGGGACTTACAAATTGTGGGCACAAATCTTCAGAATATACCTTTTTTGATAGTTCATTATTGAAGAAGAAAAAAATTTATCTAAAGATCATAATTGAGAGCAACCAGTGGCAGAAATGACCTGCCATAGTTAAGCCCAACTTAAAGTTGATCTTAGTCTTTTTGAAACAGCCCCCAGGTCAAGTATGTCTGGTGTTGGTGTAACTGCCAAATAATGCTTGCTGATCAAATTTTGTGATGCGATTACCCCACCGACTCCCAGCTCAAGGTACAACTCTAGAATGACACATTCATTCATGATCATGCCATCTGTTGAGAATTTGAATTTATGAAATGTATAAGAGCATTAAAAACAAACAAAAACAAACAGACAGACTAAACAATTTTACTAACAAGGAAGCAAAACACAATTGCAATAAAGATTATTTGTAAATCAAATATCATTTATTGACACATTTTAATTTTTAAAAATTGCATACATATTTTCGGTTCATGAGGTATTACGAATATACATTTAACGATTGCTATATTTCCTTTCCATAATTGCAGGAATGCATTCCTGTACTATTCAATCCCATGATATAAACAATAATTAACATTTTTTTCTTCAATTATAACTTCTCTTATTGCATGATGTAAAAGACTATTTAGTGTACTTTACAGGATACTGACACTAACTGTTCGCCCTTGATGAAGGCCTACAAAGGGGAACAAACCTCACACTTAAAATTACAAATGTGGCAAGTCAGTCAGCTGGGATCAGGTTCTTTTTTTAAGATGAAAGACAACATGATACATAAAAAACTTTGGTTATGAAACTATATCTACAAATATGAAGATATCTACAATTAGGGCTTATTGCTGTGAACTATTTCAAGTTTTGAAAGAAGACACTCCTACAAATCTATGTCTAATGTAGAGAGATACATTGCTTCAAATAAAATAAATCTGCTCCTTAGAATCGCTATCATTTTCACACTGCTCATCCGGTCAGGTTGACATCTGAGTGTTTTCTGAGGAGTTTCTGCGTCCGCCGACACACTATACAAGAACAGTCCATGAGGGCGCTATCACCTGACCTGTGACCCTGGATGAATGCAAAGGTCAGAGTTGGAAGGTCAAAGGTTATACATGTAGGTTGCTGTCAGAGCCTTAAATGACATGACGTCTTAGGGAGAAATCAGTTGTTAGTACGTGTATTTATACTTTCTTATAGCATTGGGGTGGTAATGGTCGGGCAGGCTGTTAACAAAGCTTCATGAATCTGTTTTAACGTATACCTGTAAAGAAAGGCACTACAAGTACAAATAAAATAACCGCGATGAAAAGGGTCTCATGTCTAATAATGTTGATCAAGAAGCTTTTTATCCTATTTGATTGGCTATGAGTAAAATTGTCAGGTTTTTATGAAGCCTTTCAACAAAATATATTTATGTATAAAGACCATTTTTACAGCAAGAAAACTTTCATGAATTGCAAAAATTCAATCCTATGTTGGTTGTGAATCTATTATTTTGCACATGAAGCTTTCATTAACCTACATCTCTCTTGAGATTCGTGAACATTTCATGCATGTGAACCTATCTGGTTGTACACTGTTGTTTTTTACATGAAACTCGGCGCAATGGTCTAGTTTCCATTATACCTCTGCATTAAAGAAAGGCATTATATCAATTTGGACCTCTTAAAGCCCCACTGCACTACTTATAGCTACTTGCGCCCTCTATATAGCAAACAATGCCTAATCAGTGACCATTGGTCCCCCATGATCCCCTTTTCTTATGTTAATTGAGAGCTGCTTTGACGAGATAACTACCTGTCAGTGACCATGACCAGGGAGGTCTAATCCCTCCTGGCCAAACTAGGCTGCTTATATCAATTTGGACCTCTTAATACTCACCCTAGTCCTATGATTCTTGGTAGCTTGGACCAGGGCCAGAATCTCTGCCTTGACTTGGACTGGGTTGAGAAGCGCCGGTCTAACTTTGAGCTCTTTCTCCTCAGGTAAATTCCTGTCAATATGGGGAGGGTGAGAAATCAAAACAGGTTACTCACTCATATCAGATAAACAGACAGGTAGAGAGAGAGAGAGAAAGAGAGAGAGAGGGGGAGAGAAGAGTAAGATGGATAGAGAGAGAGAAAGAGAAAGAGAGAGAGGGAGAGAGAGAGAGCAAGATGGATAGAGAGAGTGAGAGAAAGAGAGAGAAAAGTAAGAGAGAGGGAGAGAGAAAAGGTAAGGGAGATGGTGAGAGATATCATACATTCAACACAGTCTTCAATATTTCAAGTATATCCTCCCAAAAGCTACACGTTTCTTTTATACAAGAAGTTATTATTAAATGTACACCTGAGCAACCCATCAACAACCTATCCAGGGGGGTGTTTCACAAAGACTAAGATCAACTTTAAGTTGGACTGAACTATGGTAGGCCGTTCATGCCACCAGCTCCTTTAACCATTCCTGGCATGGTTTCTCAAGGGACTTGTAAATCGTAGTCACAAATCTACAGAATTTACATCTTTTTATAGGTCATTATTAAAGAAAAAATATTATCTAAAGATCACAATTGAGAGACCAATAGTGAGAGCAACCAGTGGCATGAACGGCCAATGGTCAAGTCCAACTTAAAGTCGATCTTAGTCTTTGTGAAACACCCTCCGGTCTCCAGCTTACTTTGCAGTCTGTATGAGCTCCAGGGTGATCCTAGCCAGCTCCATCAGAGCAAGGGAGGTACTGTTGGAGACCATGAGCTCCTCGTGTCGCAGCCATCCGGTCCGGGGTATGTTGAGAGCCAGGGAGGGCCACATGGCATCCCACAGGTCGATAACGCTACCCACCAGCTGGAAGTAGGTGGGTTTCCAGGCTAACTTCAGAACCTAGGAAAGGAACAAGGAACGGTTGAGAAATGGAGTCGATAACTTCGTCCATCTACAAATCTTCAGTTAAAGGTAGAGTCTAATCAGGATGGCATTCAGACAGAGGATACTTTTGAAATGTAGAACAAAAATTGTGGTAAAATACCTTTAACCCTTACTGTACTGGGGGGGGGGGGGGGGCTCCCAGGCCCCCCCCCCCCTCGACATTTTCAGAGATTGCGCCCAACCGCTTGGAATTTTGAATTGTCATTTCATGACTTTTTTCCGTCAAGTCTTACGCACGTTTTGATACTATTTTTATCGAAATCGATTATACCTGTTAGATGTTACATAACAATTAGTATGCGCATGTCATCAAAAAAGTGTTATAATTGCATATATTCATGTAGAAGCAGAAATGTGAATATATGAATCGATATCAAATTGCTTTTATATGTTTCTCAAAGTAACTTGATGTATTCCAGAACAAAAGAATACATTAGAAATAAAACAATAGATATAATCAGAAATAAAACAATAGATATAATCAGAAATAAAAAAAACAATAAAATACACAAGAAAATAAATAGTTGAAAACCGCATCAAATTTGCATCAAATTTGCATAAATTATCATTATTAACTACATCAAATACTGGTAACTATTTTGTATTGGAAAAAAAGTTTCATATGAATAATGAGTTACAACATTCAAAAAGTGGAGTCTGACAATTTGATATTCATGAATTTATGCAAATTAACCTATGCATTTTCAAATATCATAAAAATAATGAAACCTCATGAATTTGAGATGAAGGAAACATTTATTCAATACATTTTCAATATTCTTCACAAGTCTACGGACAAATATGTAGAGTTTTCTTTAAAATGCATAAAATTAGCATTTTGCACAATTAATTAGGCTATAACGACAAATTTTCGCGTTCATCTGATATTTGACGGCCGAGATCATGGGGGGGGGGGGCCTCCCAGGCTCCCCCCCCCCCCCAAGTCAGAGAGTGCTCAAAATAGCCCAGTACAGAAAGGGTTAAAGGTCTATATCACCACCAACCAGCTGAAAGTACATGTACATGTAGGAGGGGCTTTCAGGCTAACTACAGATCCTATCAAGGCATTAAGGAAACATTGTTAAATGTAAGGCAATGCTGTTTCTTGATCATTGCACTGATATGGACATTACCAACAATAATATGCAAACTATTCCTTTTAGATATCATACAACTCATTGTATACATGTAAATCGGAATGCTGAGGTGAAATAGCATTGTTGTATACTTCTCCAACAAAATTTGGTCTGGAGGAAGAACACAAGGCAAAAAACAAAGAGAGAGTAAAGTGAAAGAGTTAGAGAGAGGGGGGGGGGGGGGGGGGGAGAAAGAAACAAGAAGATAAGACGATTCTACCCCATCCCAACCCCATTCAACCAAATTCCTTTCCAGCATTTAATCTACATAATACCCCTTCCCTCTCTACACCAGAATCTCCTCAGTCGGGTGCACACTGCACCACAGAACAAATACTGTCCAATTGAAACCTGGGGGGTGTTTCACAAAGATCTTAAGTTGAACGTATCTCTAAGTTGGACTTAACAATTATTGAAAGCCATTAGTATCTTTGAAAATATTTTGTAAAAGTTATTTTAAAAGGCATAACATGTTGATTCAAATCATTTATATTTTCTATTATCAAGGAGATTTTATGTGCTTGATGTGGAATTTATGAAAAGTCTAAAATATACTTGAATTTTTGCTTTTGATTATATTTAATTTTAGGGCTACAAATGGCTCTCCATAATGTTTAAGTCCAACTTAAGTTCGATTTAGGATCTTTGTGAAACATCCCCCAGGAATGAGCTTAGATACCTTGACTGGGAGTAGCAGAGGTGCCTGGATAGGACTGACCCTCTGTCTCCACAGAGCCACGTGGAACTCCTCCACATGCTTGGGCGACTCCACGTAGTGAGGCGACAGGAACGCCACGATGTGCCTTGCATTATCCAGCTGACGAAGACGCTCTTGGTCGCTGGACGCATCGACTAGGACAACCACCTTGGGCGCCGTCCATTCCAAGAGGCTCTTGAAGGAGAGCGCAAACTTCTCGTCGTGCGGGTGGAAGCTGAGGAGTACCTCCCCCGTCACCTCCCGGTATTTGACCTTGTCTTGGTCGTGCTCGGAGATGAAGCACTTAGGAGGGAACACATCCTTGAGAGGCAGTGAGATCGTGTTGTATTCGTTCTTGAGGATCTTCTTCCGGTGATCTTCCATCAGGTTTTCTATGTTCAGTCGATCTGAGACCTGCAATGATGATAACAATAAGCATTTGTACCGCTACTTCTATATTTAAAATCTGTTTCTAAGGGATATGATGAGTTCTACATACATTTACATGAACATCTATAGCAAGAGCCATATATCTATAAAATGATCATAAAAACAATCAGGAATTGAACCAGCATATTTATTTATTTAATATAATCATGTTTACTGATATATTTATGTACCTATACATTTATTTATTTATTTAAAATTATTAATATTTTTGTTTTTGTTTTTGTAAATATGTAAATGAATGGCAAGTGGAGATGATAGAAATTTGCTGTGTGGAACAAAGGTCCTACACAAGCTCTATATTTGTGTGTTATAAGAAACATAATATACAGAAATATAAAGCATTGTTATGAACACAAAATAAAATGTTGCAGTTTACCACATCATTTGCAAATGAGCCTTATGAAAAGTTTATTGTCACAGAAGTGAGGAGTATATTGGCATTAAGGCATTACAAAATTGATAGCATGAAATTGATGACAAACTTACTGCAGCTCCTGCAAGGAGATGAGAGAGTCCTTCCACAGAATCTGCCTTGGTATCAGCCTTCCCATGCAGCCATGACACAAGACTGCTGCAGGCTGTAGCAACAGCATCTTGGAAGACATCGGGTGTGGCTGTTACCATGGTAACTTCTGAGAATGAGCATTCTTCTTTCTCTAGGTTTTCTATACACAGTGGTATGAGCTTCAGCTTGTCCTGTTAACAAAGGAGAAAATGATAAAATGGAATTTGATCTCATGATCTACTGACAGTTTACCTTTCAAATTTTACAACTGCTAGAATCAATCACAATTAAGCTAGACATCGATATCAATTGCATCTACACTGTATGTGCATAAGAGATGGGAGATTAGCTCGCAATGGATTGGGAGACTTGTGATCAATTTGGATCAAGTACAAATTTTTACGAGATGGGGCTTAGATCTAACGTAATACAAATCTTTACAAAAATAAGTCTAGTATGCCCATCGATAGTGAGGACATAATTATTTCTTTCTAAATGTTTCAACTCTAGCACAAATTAATGTTCAGTTTACTAAAGGTGTGTGAGAAAGAATCCTTAAATAGCCATACTACTTTGAAAGAAACTGTGTATTAAACGATTGGAAGAAGATGGCAGCAATAATTCCCTGATTTCATGATAACCTGCATTCAATTTTATTATTTGGGGATAAAGCATTTGTGTAACGGAAATGGCACAATGTACCATATCATCACTTGAAATAACTAATTATAAATACAGTCAAACCTGTCTAAAGTGACCGCCCAAGGGAAACACAAAAAGTGGTCTTTGTAGACAGGTTCCTTTAGTATGTTTCAATGAGAAACCATTTTCAAGGGAAACAAAACATGTGGTCTTTGTAGACAGGTGGTCACTAAAACAGGTTTGACTGTATGATAATCATTGCTGATACAAAAAAACATATAGGTTATAGCAAATTCATCAACATTATCGTATTATCAATGTAACCATCTTTACCTGAGCCAAGTGTTTCATCTGAGCAAGGCTATATTCCTCCTGGCACACAGCTGATCTGAGGTAGTTATTAGAGAGTATGGCAAGCATAGATCTGGAACCATCTATGGAGTGGTATAGGGTCTGCTGCCATGCATGACCTGAGAGGTCAAATCATCAAAAATAGGAAATATTAAAGTTAGAACTAATACTTTTAAATCTTGTCTTAAAGCACCACTTCACTACTTCTAGTTACCGGTACTTGCGCCCTGTATATAGCAAACAATGCCTAATCGATGACAATTGGTCCCCAATGGTCTGTTAATCGAGAGCTGATTTGATGAGATAACCACCAGAAGAGTGTTATAAATGTATAATATAATCTTGGACAACTATTTTGGACAACAATCCTCTCAGCAACTACATTCACTGGAACAATAACGCCCTTCCCCCCCCCCCCCCCCCTACCTCAAGACAAATACCCCTCGAGGAACTGTAAACTCAACAATCAATGTCAAATTCCTGCCTCCCCATCCAGGCAACTAACTTCTAATTCTTCTTCTTCTTCCTTCTTCTTTAAGATAATCTGCCTCCTTCAATACTGAAGATTCCTGCAGATGCCGTATACTCAATTCAATCAATTCAATCATCTTCTACATGTAATCCATAACAAATTAAACATAAGGCATGGACTGCTACTGACAATGTGCATTAGTTGCATAGTTGTGGAAGGGGCACTGTACACCTGGGGGAGTTTCACAAAATTTGTCATCAGTGACAAATGACAGTTGTTGTTATAAGCTACTGAAATCCTTGCTTCTGATTGGTTATCGGCAGATTTGTCACTAATTTTTGTCATTTGTCATTGAAAAAAGGCTTTGTGAAACGGGCTCCTGTTTTTCTCGATATGACAATGGTATCATTCATCTCATGACAAATATTTCATGTTACAGAATATCAACAAACATACCACAGCAAGTCTATTCTAGAAGTATTGCAAAATGTTGTATGGATATAAGACACCCCCTGCATCTAAAATACATTCTGGGGAGTGTTTCACAAAGACTAAGATTAATTTTAAGTTGGACGTAACTATGGCAGGCTGTTCATGCCACTTTTTGCTCTCACTATGATGATTTTTAGATAACATTCATTTGTTTCCTTCAATAATGAATTATCAGAAAATTTATATTCTGTAGATTCGTGACCACGATTTGTACGTCCCTTGAGAGAACGATGCCAGTAAATAGTGATAGCAAACAGTGGCATGATTGGCCTGCCATAGTTAAGTCCAACTTAAAGTCGATCTTAGTCTTTGTGAAACACCCCCATGATCTATGCTTATTCTATAAGTGGGATTCTTACCTGTCTTGAGCTCCTGGATATCGTAGAAGATCCTCAAGCTCGGGTCCAGCTCCTTGAGCACACCCACAATGTGGGTAGCAGCCTCTGAGTCACAGTGGGAGTAGGAGACAAAGACATCATAGCAGAAGGGATCCTCCTCCTCTTCCACCGGTGTGCTGGTGGTCGTACCATTACCTGAGCTATCGTCCTGGGTAGAGAGTGGCAGAGCTTTTATGAGCTGCTTACAGGTGTTGGAGATTTGTACTTCAGGATCAGATCTATAGGAAAAGGAAGACGTCGTAATTGATTGGTTATCTTGCGATTCCATTTATTGCTCAAGGGTTAAACCGTCTTATTTATGAGAAGCTTATACATGTAAAGGCTAAGGCGGGGGGGGGGGGGGGGGGGGGGGGTAGAGCATTTGCATCAGCAGCTCTTTCTCTGTAGAATAAGATACCCTTTTCTCTTCCAATAGCCAATATGTTTCAAGCCATACTTAAGACCCACATGCTTGCTGGTTACAATTAAATTACATTATTAGAGTTCAACTTTTAGTTCATTGACTTTTTTACATTTTTATTGATTTACTTTGGAGTTTTTTCATTGAAAATGAAATGGCGATATCAACATTTTTTCGATGCAAATTTTTCAATGAAATTCAGAAATAAGAGATACTAGTACAATGCAGTAAAATAAATTTCAAAACGGGGGATTGAGAATTTGCATCAGCATCTCTGTGGCACAAGTTACCCTTTCTCTTCAAACTTGCAAAGACCCATCTTATGTTTGCTGGTTACAATTAAATTTACATTATTAGAGTTCAAATTTTAGTTCATTGATCTCCATATATTTTTATTGAATTACTTTGGAGTTTTTTAATTGAAATATCAACAGTTTTTTGTATGCAGTCGCTAACTTTGTGTTTCCAACATGACAGAAATTCAGAAATAAGAGATACTAGTACAATGCAGTAAAATAAATTGAAATGGGCAATCCAATTACAACAAAGTTCATGATTAACATATTTTTGCTATTGCTCACCTACAGTCAGAGTACTGGACTAAGCCCATGTATGTTGGCAAGGTAACGGTTGCTATGTAGAGTGGAGCTAAGATATCTCTGTAGGATTGTCTGTTGCAGCAGAGGGCAATATTGTACTGCTCCAGGCAGTCTGGTGAGCTGAGGTAGTTTGGACTTAAAACTGGAAAAGAAAGTAAAATCAATTTTCAATAAGTTCATTAGACTTAATATTAAATGCAATATCACTTTGCATTTCTAAATGTCTTCCATGCTCTAAGAAAGTCATACATAAAATAAAACCAGCTTTTATTTGCCAAGTAGAAAGTTATAACCTTCAAAATATTTTGTTTGTACAGTTGGAAAGCAATCTACATATTCCAATAAACAGAACAAAGAATAATTGGAGAATGACGTTCAATTGTAACATCTTTATAAATGTCAATAAAAGACTTCAGTTAGTCATGATCTATGTCCTTTGGTCAGGTAGTATACATGTAGGACTATTGTACAGATGCACGAAAATGAAAGACAATATATGACCAACAACTACCATTTACAAAAAAACATGCAGTAAAAAGGGAGTAGTTTACAAGACCACAAGAGTGAACATGGATGAAAACTTGGAAAAGTGCTTCAAGGTGATTTTTCATCACAAGGAACGATGCAGACCCAATCCAGTGTTTTAGTTATCATGGATAACTGTAATGAAATGGATCTGGAAATCAAAAAGTAATGTCAAAACACTTTTCAAATTTTGTTGTCCCTATTCATTCTGGTGATCCCACTCTGATTGATTGAGCGAGCATATAGCTCTCATTTATTTCTTCCAATATGTACAATTAAAAAACAAACAAGTTAACATGCATAATTTCATGTTTACATCAATATATTTGATAACAGAGTAATACATACATATGAGCTAGTACTACATATAAATACAAAGATATGAAAGAAAAAGGTGTCTTGAAAAAAGCCTCAAGGGCTTGTTAGGAGGGGATCACCAGAGCAAAAAAAGAAAGAAAAAAAAAGAAGATATATATACCTGTGATGACCCTGGCACTTTTGGTCATGACTGCGTAGATGTCGTTCTGCCATATGGCGTCCTCGTCAAGCTTCTGGTTTGATAGGTAGATGCGGATGTCTGGTTTGATGGTCCGTAGAGCGGTCTGGATGTGGTCTACGGAGGACTGGTCCTTGGGACTGAAGGACATGTAGATATCATAGTCTAGCTTCACTTCCTGGGATGAGAGGTGCATGGTAGAGAATATGGAGAAATAAGATGGGAATAGAGAGAGAGAAAGAGAGAGAGAGAGAAAGGGGGCGAGGGGGTGGGGGAGAAGAGAGAGAGGAGAGTAGAAAGAGAGCGCCAAGAAGGAGGCGAGTTGGCTCAGTCGATAAAGCGTCTGTCTGTCGAACCAAAGATCTCAGGTTCGAATCCCACCCAGGTGGATGACTGAAGTCTGCGTTGTGTGTTAATGTGCCCCTCCCCTTGTTTCATAGACGCAGGCTATGTTTAATAGAAAATACTCTGTCCCTCGGATAGGAGGTTAAACGGAGGCCCCATGTAGAGGAGAGTCACTACCTTTGAACCCACTGCACTATTAGTATAAGAGTAGGGGAAAACCCTGGTGTAGTGGGTCACCTGCACACCCCAGTACAGTACAACAATACTCTGTAAAGAGGTATGTACTCAAATGGAAGCTATATAAAAGCTATATAAATTGTACACCCTCCCCCCCCCCCCCCCCCTCAATAAATCCTGATTTTGTACCTTTGGAATGGGGCTCTTTGTTTCCAGTCTCTCTTTGAGTTGAGAGAAGAGCGTGAGGATCTGAGAACCATCTCCCCTCTGGAGGATCATAGATGCAGTGGTTCTACTCAGCACCGTCGAGTAGATCACAATCTTTAGGAGACGGAGAGGAAGGCCAGCTTTCATCCAGTTGACAGCGTTTTCCACCATCCCTTGCAGCATCTCGCACTCGTCACAACCCTATGTGGTAATTGTTTTTACAAAAGATGATATCATTAATATTCCAATTGATGGGTGATGTGTTCTGAGGGGTGTTTCACAAAACTTGTCATCAGTGACAAATGACAGTTTTTGTTATAAGCTACTGAAATCCTTGCTTCTGATTGGTTATCAGCAGACTTGTCACTGATTTTTGTCACTTGTCATTGAAAAAAAGCTTTGTAAAATGGGTCCCAGGTCAATACCCTTCCTTTCTACTTTTGATAGAGGAAACTGTGAGCATTAGCCATACTGTCAACAGAAAAGCACTGTTATGATGTCAATGGCTTCCTTTTCAATATTCAAATATATTAAAATCTACAACATGACAGGAGACAAAATCAAATATAATCTGTAGAGACACGAAATGGTTAACAATAGCTTGGCTTTACTATTAACGACTGTTATTATTAGTTTGAAATGTGCATTGCTAAATGCACGAAAGAAACATGTAGGGTTATCTGTAGTATTTGGCCCTATAAATTAAATTGTCCCATAAATTCTACAATAACGATGAGAGATATTCAGTTCTTCAGATCGTTGCAGGTTGTATGTTGACAACATCTTTAGACATACCTGACTCCCGGAATTGAGTAGGGGTGTGATGACAGTCCCGTCTTGATTGTTGAGTATAGGAACCAGACACCGAAATGCATGGGATACCAACTCAGAGGGGCGTCCTTTTGCCCCCCTGTTCGGATCATAGCTCCTAAATTTCAAACAGCACAGAGTTGTTAAATGTATGGAAATAAAGACATGTACCGGTATACCATATCAATGATTAATTGCTCTTCATGTTTCTAACTAAGAGGGGTGTCCATTTGACCCCTCCCCCCCCCCACTTCGTATCATATCTAATGAAATTCAAACAAAAAACAGAATAGCTTATAATTTGAAGGAACACAAGACATGAGATTAATTACTTCATGTTGATGTACATCACTTTCAAATGATTATGAAAGCAGCAGAAAACTAGTAAGGTTGACAAATCTAAGTTGACAAGCAAAACAGATTTTCGTATGTTCTTGAGATCGAGCGTTACATGTACATGTATATACAGTGTGAGTCAAAAAAAATTTACACCTAGGAAATTGCTAATTATTTCAAAAATCATCTATGAACAGTAAATTTCTTATGAAAGAGTGTTTTATCCCAAATCATTTGGCATCATTTTTGTGTGGTATGTGTTCACGCTTGGATGAACAAGAGGCATTGGTTGCGAGAATGCAAAAATTGACTTGCGCCAAAGTGATGCCCACACTCACTTGAGTTTTTTTGTTGTTGTAAGGATTCAGGAAAAAATCAGGAAAATCAGGAAAATCAGGGAAAAATCTGGAAAATCGGGGTAAAATCAGGGGGGGGGGGGGGGAAGAAAAGAAAAAAAATCAGGTAATTATCAGGCCTGACTTACGATGCTCCAGAGAATACTGTACTGCCCCTGGTCTCAAAGCAGAGCAGTCTCTTGTAAGGTAGGTGGTTTGGGAGAGGTTTGGTCCACCAGCAGGAGTAGAGATCTTGAAGGTCCTCTTCCTTGTGAGTCCTGGCCAGCTGATACACATCGATGTCCCTTTGCCTGTAGAGGGCGCCTATCACCCCAACGCCTTTACTATAGCAACCTGTACATGATCAATACAGCACTAAACTGCCTCAACTGTTACATTACAAAAATCCTCTTTAGGATTGTCAATACCCATTCTGGCTCTGGCTCTGGAATTTATACTACCTGTAGAAGGATGAAGTTACAATTGGAGGCTTTTCGTAATAGATGATTGAAATGCAGGAGGCAAAGGCCATGGCAATGGGAGGCAGGTTGTAGTGTTATTCTCTTTACTTTGCCTCCTCTCTCTCTTCCTCTATTTCTCTCTCGGTCCGTTATACTTCTCTTTTTTCGTCACCATTTGATTGGCAGGGCATGTGTCCAAATCAGCTACATGTATGCCACGTATGACATTAGCCCTATTAAAGGGATTGGGTATCTTTGTCTAAGATTCTGAAATAAAATCCTGGATTTAGCTCAGGCTGCAATGATAGTTATAAACCTTTAGGTCAGTCAGGAACCCCATGGCTTTTACAAGCCAATCGCCTGTCTGATTATCAAGATATTTATGATTGGAAATTGACATTTCAAAAACCGTTTTCCTAACTGTTTTATAAGACTACAGTCTATTGGGGAAAATGTGTATGGTAAAACCGATCATTCAAAGTTTTTTAGTTTTTTGAGGCACTTCATGATCATTTTGAAGCAAATTTTTTTTTTTTAGGGCTTCAATATAACACCATATCACAAACTGATAACACGTAGGGCCATGCATATCAGATTTAACATTGTTAAACGATGCCTTTAATATTTAATGTGATAAATGGTTGAACTATACCTCCATACGCTGAGATGAGTAGGACGTCCACCTTGTCCTTTTGAGGAAGCTTGGTGATGTCTCCGAGGCACAGTTCAATCTTACACTCTCCACTTGGTGTCACAACGGTCAGTGTATCCTTGACCAGTAGCCCCGGGATGGGCCCATCATCATCCCTGGATGCTTGACCATCCTCACAGGTGACCAGTGGTGTAGGGTTCTTTCTCCTGCCTCGTAATATACTCCTGCAATAAAAAGTCAAGTGAAACCGTCTACCCAGACCTGTGGTCAAGATCACCAACCCATCGGCATTCATAGAGGCAGCACTGGCAGTCGTTTTACCTTAATTTTTTTTTTTTGAGGCTGCCATTCTGGTCAAGCATTGCTTATGATTGCGGTCTCCTGCACTTTTTTCAACAGATAGTTCGGATAATACTTTGAATTTATGATAATATGTTATAAAAATATTAAGTTTCGTTATTATATGTACATGTAAAAGAAACATTTTGATATGAACATGAAGATATTATTGTTTGTATTTAGCAATTACCTTACGTTTATATGTTCTTTGTTATTCAGTTATTATACTTGGAAAAATGCAGAAATAAAATCTAATACATGTGATGTATACCTAGCCTCCTATGTTTTCCCACATGTATAACACAGAAGCATGTTATATTTGAATGGTGCTGTCTCACATTTTATTGTACATATGCAAAAATATAAGTATTTTCTTTATCATGGCTCCTCACATTTATGCATGTAGCAGGTTATTTTTCTGGGATTGAATCTAGGGGGTGCTGAAACGGATTATCGCCTAAAGGTTCAAGGTTCAAGGGTCAAGATAAGTTCATTTTGGGGTAAGTCCAAGGTGTTCTGTTCCACACATTGCCAGTATCATCCAAAGTATGCCTGACATTTCTTTCAAAGTCATACTAGTAGATAAGGATTAATTAGATCACATAAATCCTAATAACAAGGAAAATGAAACTTGCCATGTTAATCATTGCTTATTGCCCCCTATTCTTGATAACGTAATTGACAGCAAACAATCAAAGACATGCATACATGTACCTTGGACTTCCCGTCATTTGATGAATATTAATTACTGTTGAACATATTTTTAAAGGTCTCAGTCCATCTTGCTTTTCACATTAAAAAAAAGATTCTCCATATAATAAAGAAACAAAAGAAAGCAACACAATTACTTTTTACTGATTCTAGTAACCAGAATCAAAGAAAACAAGATTAATTATAGTGGAAAACTTATCTGACTGTTTCAAATAATTGCATTGACTAAGCTCTGGTTGAAAATCCCATAAAAATAATTAGAGACCCCTAGAGACAAATTGAAAAAGTATATTATTAATATGTTTTCTTTGATTCTGGTTACGAGATTCAGTGAAAACTACTCACTGATCCATGATACTCTGGAGCACCAACCGCTGTTTTCAAGATGGGGTACGTAGTAGATTTATGAGGTTTTCATAAGAGTAAAGGTGTCATATATATTGCGATTCCACAAGATCAGTATTCGGCAACCACATATGATAGTTAGATCTGGAAAGAGAAGTTCAAATACCGGTATGAATTTAGAAGACATATGTAATACAATCTGAGATTAACAATTCATATTAATTAAGACAATGAAATAAATACAATGAACATGTGTTGTAGCAAGATGTTCCAACTTTAGGGGAAGAATACATGAATAACACAAAAGCAAAACAGTTATTTATACGACTGTACATGACGTTACCATATGATTTTTTGTACCTCGAATACATGCTTCTTTTTAATTAAAAAAAGCTTTATAAGCTTTGAAAACAACACACCCATGCAACTCCATACCAATTCTGCTGATAGATATGTCATGAATATAGTTCCTCCAATAATGAGTTTCCAAGCTTCTACATGCAATATTGCAATTCCTCTAATTTTGAGTTTCCAGCCCTCAGTCATGCCACAGCACTTTAATTCAAATTATGATCTTGGAGCCAGTCATATAGCTATAAAGTAGATTTGGGCATCTACTTGGATACCGCAGACTATAGTGTAGCAGACTACAATAGCCGAGTTAGCAGACTATATACAGCTACATGTACATGTAAATCACACATGACAAGGCATGTTGTGCAGCTAGCTGTGTAGTGCTACTAAATATTGTGCAATAATCACAAACACATACATGTACATATAGTCATATCCTTGTCATCACATCCCCAAACATGGTGACTCAATCATGGCACCATGGCAGACATAATGCCTGATTATTATAATTCATGCACTGCACACAATGTCTATATATAGTTTTGTCTACCTGTAAATGTAGAGTGCAGAAGTTCATGAATATTCATGTTTATTGTATGAATTATCACAAATGCAACACACTTTGATCTATCACCAACTTCTGAAGTCTCGTATCTCATAACAAGTATGTGCATATGTATACTAGCTGCTACACATAACTGACATCTCCCTGTTTAAACTCATAAATCATTGAATCTAATTGTGCACTCAGCATGGCCAGGTTAGTTTACTCAGACCGAGAACTTCTACATTCACACCAAGTCCTAGTTTATGGTGGCCCTGAAGGGACATCGCGAATAGACTAAATCGTGAAAAAATATGCGATAAAATTCACGATATCGTCAATTTTATCGCATATTTTTCACGAAGAAATTCACGAAATTGACGATATCGTGAACTTTATCGTGAACTTTTCACGATGAAATTGACGATATCGTGAATTTTATCGTGAAAAGTTCACGATATAAAGTTCACGATATCGTCAATTTTATCGTGTACTCTATCGTGTACTCTATCGTGTACTCTCCTGACGGGCGCTTCGTAAACAAAACCAGCCCTAGCTGGGGGAGACAGAGAGAAGGAAAAAAGGGAAAGGGAAAGAGAAGATAAAAGGAAAGAAAGAATAATAAGAAGAAAAGAGGGAAACGGGGGGGGGGGGGGGGGGGCGAAGGGCTCTTGCCTCCTCCTCACTCCCCCCCCCCTCCCCGCCAAAAAATAAATCAGAGAGAGAGAGAGAAGGGAAAGGGAAAGGGAAAGAGAAGATAAAAGGAAAGAAAGAAGAGGAAGAAAAAGAAAAGAGGGAAACGGGGGAAGGGCGAAGGACTCTTGCCCCCCCTCCCCCCCCCCCCCCCGCCAAAAAATAAATCAGGGAGAGAGAGAGAAGGGAAAGGGAAAGGGAAAGAGAAGATAAAAGGAAAGAAAGAAGAGGAAGAAGAAGAAAAGAGGGAAACGGGGGCAAAGGGCTTTTGCCTCGTCCCCCCGCCCCCGCCAAAAAATAAATAAGAGAGAGAGAGAGAGAGAGAAGGAAAGGGAAAGAGAAGAAAGAAAGAGAAAAACGAAAAAGAGGGAGAATAGGAAAGAAAGGAAAAGAAAGAAAAGAAAGGAGGCAAGAGCCCTTCGCCCTGTTTCCCTCTTTTCTTATTCTTTTTCCTCTTCTTTCTTTCCTTTTATATTTTCTTTCCCTCTCCCTTCTCTTTCCCTTTATGGCGGGAGGGGGGAGGGGGAGGTAAGAGCCTTTCGCCCTTCCCCCGTTTCCCTCTTTCCGTCTTCTTCTTCTTTCTTTCCTTTTATATTTTCTTTCCCTTTCCCTTTCCCTTCTCTCTATCTCTCTCTCTCTCCTATTTATTTTGTTGGCGCGGGAGGGGGGAGGAGGCAAGAGCCCCTCTTTTCTTCTTATTCTTCTTCCTTTCCTTTTTTATTCTCTTTCCCTTTCCCTTCTCTCTCTCTTTCTCTTATTTTTTTTTGGGCGGGGGGATGCAAGAGCCCTTCGCCCCCGTTTCCCTCTTTTCTTCTTCTTCTTCCTCTTCTTTCTTTCCTTTTATCTTCTCTTTCCCTTTCCCTTTCCCTTCTCTCTCTATCTCTTATTTATTTTTTTGGCGGGGGTGGGGAGGGAGGAGGCAAGAGCCCTTCGCCCTTCCCCCGTTTCCCTCTTTCCTTCTTCCTCTTCTTTCTTTCCTTTTATATTTTCTTTCCCTTTCCCTTTCCCTTCTCTCTCTCCTTATTTATTTTTTGGCGGGGGGGGGGGGGGAGTGAGGAGGAGGCAAGAGCCCTTCGCCCCCCTCCCCCCGTTTCCTTCTTTTCTTCTTATTATTCTTTCTTTCCTTTATCTTCTCTTTCCCTTTCCCTTTTTTCCTTCTCTCTGTCTCCCCCAGCTAGGGCTGGTTTTGTTTACGAAGCGCCCGTCAGGAGAGTACACGATAGAGTACACGATAGAGTACACGATAAAATTGACGATATCGTGAACTTTATATCGTGAACTTTTCACGATAAAATTCACGATATCGTCAATTTCATCGTGAAAAGTTCACGATAAAGTTCACGATATCGTCAATTTCGTGAATTTCTTCGTGAAAAATATGTGATAAAATTGACGATATCGTGAATTTTATCGCATATTTTTCACGATTTAGTCTATTCGCGATGTCCCTTCAGGGCCACCATACTAGTTGCATGCAGGGTCTTTCATTTTGAGGACTCCATTTGCAGACAATTAATTTCAACCTTTTCAAAATTAAAGCTTATGATAATTAAGAGTTTTGGATGTATTCATTAGAACCTAATGCCACAACAATTACATAATATAAATACTTTCATTCAATTCAATCAAATAAGATTTGTTCACATTTCACATATAAATATATCATATCAGCTTACCTGTAGAGTGTAGAATCAAAACCATATCTCCAAAATACTTGCAGCTTTTGCCTCAGGTCAGGCTTGGCATTAATTTCCACACTGAAACTGCTATTACCAGTACCTGGGCTGTAGTTACATGTCATTATGCAGTTTGTCCAGGTCAAACGCAGGGTTTCCTTCTTCCTTTTTTTAGAATGCACTCATCCATATGCCATGTTGACTCATCCATGATTGTACACATCCAGCGAGCTGTATTTAGATGAAATACCTTTCCTTTCATAGTCTGGCTTCCAAGCTGATCATAATCATTTTCTTTCTCTCTGATTTTTTCCTCCTCCTCTATCTCTCTCTCAATCGATCAAATAAATTACTAGTAAGCTTTTCTTCTTCCCTCCCTTTCTCTTCTTCATTATCCCGCTCTTTCTCTTTACTCCTCATCACTTCCTCTTTCTCCAATCTCTTTCTCTTCTTCGAACTCTTACTCCTCTTCCTAATCCCACCCTTTCTCTTTTTTCCTCCCTTCATCTTCTCCAATCTCTTTCTCTCCTACCCTCCCTTTCTCTTCTCCAAACTCTCGCTCTTCCTCTATTTTCCTTCCTTCCTTCCTTCCTTCCTCTTCCTCCCCTCCTCTTCTTCCAACTCTTGATTTTCTACCTACTCCCGCTCTTTCTGTTTTCCTCCCTTTCTCTTCTTCAAACTCTTACTCTTCTTCCTAATGTCCCTCTCTTTCTCTATTTTCCTCCCTTCCTTTCTCTTCTTCCAAGTCTTACTCTTTTTCTATTTTTTCCTCCCTTTCCGTTCTTCCCTCCCTTTTCCTTCTTCCAACTCTTACTCTTCTTCTTAATACCACTCTTTCTCTTTTTTCCTCCATTCCTCTTTTCCCACTTTACAATTTCTCTGAAAACCCCACACTTCCAACACCGTACTGATATTCTTTTTAAAATTCTTCTAAAAATCCTGTTCCTCTGAAAACATCTTATTAGTGAAAATGTCTGATTTGGGAATATGAACAAGCCTTTTTGAAATTATGTTGCCATTTAATTTAAAAATACTATTCAAGCTTTAACCCTCCCCCCCCCCCCCCAAAAAAAAAAATAAATAAATAAATAAAAAAAATTGGAAGTTAAAACTTGTGGTCATGTTTACCTATCATGTACCCCACCCAATAATATAAACAAACCACACACAATATACATACAGCAAATCCTGTAATTTATAAAAAATATAATTTATTATAATTGCCAACCTACAACTCGGGAGGCCTGGAAAACAATCATCTTTTAGTTCCACTATTACCAATAATTTCTTTAGAATACATCAATGTTTAAATATTCAAAACATTACATGATTGCACAGACTTTCGAAAAATGTCTTAAAACATGAGACCATTGTCTATTACAATGAAATATCATGTAATCTGAACATGATTTCTTTGGAACATACAGTAGTGTTACAATCTATATATTCATTGTTTGATCATAACTACCAGTACCAAATTACTAATTGTACATGTAATGAAAGGCAATTTTACACACACATAAATAAAGCCACATAGCACCTATCAAATTGCATCATTTAAGAAAGGGAAGGAGAAATAAAAAATTGTGATTTTTCTGCGCATGTTTGCCAAATAAACATTGAAAAAAAGGTACACATGTATACACATTACAAATTCAGGAAGAAAAAAAACAACAACAAACAAACCACTCCCCGAAAATAAAACTTACTAGGAATAAAAAGGATCTTATATCTAAAATGGTTGTCAACTTGACATTCATACCGGTATTCATGACACTATATCTCCTTTTAAAGGATAAATACACAGGCACAGATTTAAAAAAATTATTTACCGTATGCAATTCACTTTGTAGTCCATGGTGACTTTAATAATTCCATACTCAATGATTTAAAAAAAAAATTAGTTCATAAAAAAAGCAAAACCACTGAGTACGTCGTTCAAGTCAAAACAGGTACAGTATACATTAGAAAAGAAGAAAAAAAGTTAAGCATAATTAGTAAGATAAAAAAACATGTAATATCATTGTTGACAGTAAGAAGGATTTTAAATATCAGGAAAAATGATCAAACTACAAACAAAATGCAGGCTTCTGATAAAAATTGATTACAGTCATTTCATAATATTTTGTGCACTTCAAAAACTACTGCATATGTTTTTTAAGTGGAGACAATTCAGACAAATAAAATATTCAAGTGTTATTGATTTTGTATGAATCACATAATTCTTTAGTGTATAATTACAAACAGAAGGGAAAAAATTTGGAAAGATCTTTCTTATTTTCTCATTAAGAAAGGAGGCAACATATTTTCTCATATATTTATAGTAGATATATATATGATTTAAAATTCAAAGCAATATGTCTTAATAATAGAACCACAACTTTAACAAAATGTGACACCGCAAACAAAAATGTAACACTTTTGCCACTATAAGAATTACAGACAATACATATTATTAGACATTATTGACTTGAGGAATCAAATTCCAATACACAAACATACTGGTCAAAAATTACAACAACAAAAACACACGAAACATACCCTAAGTGATTACCAAACTATTAGGTATTCAAAAAGACAACTGTGAAACCAGAAACTTAAATGAGCTCATTGAATCTTTTCAAATTTCACAAGTAGCTCTGATTTGCAAACATTTCATGTCACAAAATTATAGAATGAAAACTGACACAACACTGAGTATTTTGCAATGAAAATGTCAGACGCTTAGCTTTTGCAATAGTTTCACGGCTCTAAGTTTCTGGTTTTACGGTACAGAAATTTATATTAATAGCAAAACAAAGATATCTCACATCCTTTCTATACAGTGTACATACCACACCAGTGCACATATTTACACACGAGCACACAAGCAACACACACAAAACAGACATCCTGTTCACACCCTCCAGAAACATCCTACCCCAAAAATGTGATACTTTCCCCCATAGGCAATTATCACATATTTCTTATGGGTTCATCAAAATAGGTCTAATATGGACAAGCAAATTATATTTATAAAAAAAAGAAGACATATATGAAGTATCCAAAAGCACTAAATTCAAAATATTTCATTCTTTCTATCTAATAAAATTAGGCGCATCTTCCCTGATAAAACAGAATTCTGTTTCTCTTTTACCAGTCGATAATTCAGAGTACTATTTACATTTGATTCCATTATCTGGTTTAACAATGCAAGGCAAAGTGACAAACAAAAGTTGAGAAGGGTTGTAAAACAAGCCAGCAAAATAATGAACCATACTGTTGACCTAGATGAAGTCTGTAAGGAAAGAATAGTATCTAAGGCCCTATCCATTATGTCTGATCTTACCCACCCCCTTAATGACCAGTACATACACCTGAGAAGCGGACGAAGATTGAGATCTGTTAAAGCAAGAACTAGTCGCCGCATTAATTCATTCATTCCACTTTCCATAAGAGTAGTTAATAAAACCCAGTAAAGAATAGAGAATGTGAAAACCATGCAAAATACCCTCATTGACATGTTACACGAATATATATATTGTTTTAGTATACTTACTTTACTGTTGTACCCCTACCGTTATACCATATCAAGAAATAATTTTTAACACAAAATACCTACTTCATATTAGAGCATATAAGAATTTTAAAAAATGGAGGGTATGTAAGAAGAAAGAGAGAAGAAGAAGAAGAAGAAGAAGAAGAAGAAGAAGAAGAAAGAGTATTTAAATGTATATTCATCATGACCATGTATATTATATCAAATGTATACTAAAACAGGGCCCTATAAATGTCAATTATATGTTGTTCCTATGTTCTTATGTTGAAGCAAGATTGTTCATGTGCATAATAAACAATTATCCTTTATGGACACAATAAAGAAATGAAATGAAATGAAATGAAAGATAGTTGACTATATGGTAAAGACATGATTTTTAATGTCTTATGTAAATTTATGGCATATGATTTACATACGTAATCACCTATTTTTAAAACTAATAAATTGTACGTACCTACGTACGCACATGTCCAGTCAGTAAATTAGGCTTGAGTCGGTACGGTCCATCACAACGAATCCCGACCGTTGCCATTGGGTCCCAGTTTCGGTTTTTGGAAACCTGACGATCCAGAAAAAAATAAAAATAATGAAATACATATTCATTCACTTTAAAACTATTTAGTATTGGATTTTTACCGACTTGTATTTTATATTCAAGCTCATCCTGAATAGATCCGAACTGCCGTTATAAATATGGGTTGAACTGAAGTTTGCTGTTTTTGGCATGGGGGTGTTTGTCGTTGCCAGCGCAGCTAGCAAGCAAGCTATTGTTATCGGTGCGTGTCAGCTGCCACGTGCACGCAGCTCTGCCAATCTGAGCTAGCTATATCGGGCAGCGAACAAGGGCAAGATAAAGTTTGTAAATATATTGTGTGTGATAGAGAGAGAGAAAGAAAGGGTCTGAAAAGAAAAATGAATATAGAGGGACAGGAGAGGGAATAAGAGGGCGGAAAAAAAATGAAACCAGAGCATGCAGACGGGGAAAAGATAATCCCTCAACAAAGCCTTTACAAAAGATTCAAGAAGCTGTTCCACGAAACAATGAGAATTTGGGCTCTACTTAAACAACTTCCTCAGCTTTGGAACATTTATATTGTTCGTCTTTGTTTATCTAACACACTTTCTCAGTTGTCTTTATCGTTATCACACGTTTATTCTCTCGCTCTCGCATACGCCATCTATTTGATATTCCACATCATGGGCAAGACAAGTAAAGTTTGGAAAGTTTTTAACAAAACTGTCGATGATCGTGTACAATGTAAACTCTGTGATAAGAAGTATGCGTACAGCGGCTCGTCCATGGGAGTGATGCTCACTCATATACAGCTCTTGAAAAGGACAAAGCACAGCCGACACCTATGAGGAGGGAAATAATCAAGGATAAGATTGTCGAACTGATCGCTCTGGTGGAGGCGGGTGCCTTCAAGGCATTGCTGAAATGTCTTGTGCCAGGCTATGTGACTCTGACGAGGAAGACCATTTCCAATAGGATAAAATTATTGTACGAGAACAAGAAGGAGGAGATACGGGAGTCCCTCGTCAGCGTCCAGCACGCATCATACACTACAGACTGTAGGACGAGGATTGGTGAGGGCCAACTTCGTCCTCGAAACCAAACCAGTGTTGGGAGTTGGAGAGGAGGCAGACCAACCGCAGCGCCACACCACCGAAGCGCTCCAAAACCAGTTAGAGAGAGTCGTCGAAAACTGGGGCCTTCGAAGGAAGAGCGTGGCAATGGTGCACGACAATGTCGCCAACATCTGTTGGATCGGAGAGGGCATTGACGCGGCTAATGTTGGATGCGCTGCACACACCTTGCAGCTGGGTGTGAACACTGCCCTTGACAGCGCACCACTAATTCAAACCCTTTCGGCAGCGGCATCACGGCTTGTAGGACATTTCAAGCACTCGGCCGTTGCTACAAAGGCAGATGGGTATCGCGGAACACAAGCTTGTACAGTTGATGAAGGTACGATGGAACTCAACCTTTGATATGTTTCAGCGACTTAAGGAACAAAGATGGGCCATCTGCCGGGTACTGAGCGACAGGAGACACACGAACCTGGGGGATGCCCGCACCCTCGAGCTGAAAGACGAGCAGTACGTGGGGTCTCAACATTGCCCTTGAGCCCTTTTAAGGTAAACAAATTAATCCTGCACCTACATGAAAATAGATAACTAGATATATTCAATGTAAAATTTAGAGGACAAGTTAATTACGATTTAACTATAATACTGGTAACTATCATTTTTTTTATTATAGCATAGTTTAGGGAAGATAATTGATTAATTTCTATCATTTTGATGCTGATTGCACTGGGGAATATGTCAGAAAATTACTCTAAAACGTATGCGTATACGGATGCTGGTGACTTATGCGCTTCGTTTCTATAGTAATGTGGTATAGTGAGTAAACTTGATATTATCTTTACGGTCACCCTAGACTGGACAGAGAGGAGGCAACATTGGTTGAAAATGGTAAACATATTGTTTCCGATCAGGAGAAAGCAAATGCCTTTGGAAATTACCTTAAAAAAATAGGAATAAAAGACAGAGATACAAATAAGAAATTACTGAAGGCACCAAACATTGACATTCATAATTTGAATGTTGAACATGTTATAAATGAACCTTTTATTATAACAGAATTGGAAAAGGCAGTACAATCGCGGAAAAGGACTGCCCTAGGTAAAGATAATATACCATACGTTGTGTATGAAAATCTGCCAAAAGCAATCAAGGAAATCATGCTGAATATCATTAACTTAATATGGAAAACCTGAAAATTCCAATTCAACTAAAGTATTCTGTAATAATCCCTATTCTCAAACATGGAAAAGATCCTAGAAATACATTGTCTTATAGACCAATTGCTTTCACATCATGTTTTGCCAAGATTATCGAACTAATTATAAAAGAAAGACTGCAATGGTATGTGGAAAAGCATGAATGTGATACCCAATTTTCCAAGTGGATTTAGGAAAGGTCGATATTGTTCAATTAGAAAACGACATCCAAAAGAGCATAAACTGTAACAAACACGCAGTAGCAGTTTTCTTGGATGTCGAGAAAGCGTTCGATACTGTTTGGATAAAGGGACTAGTTCCGATCGATTCGGGGGAGTTGAGGATTGAGTGTTTACATTCGGTCCTCATGTCCAGATGTACTTATCTTGGACATAGGGACCAATGATCTGTGTAGACATACTCCTCATGAGGTATGTTTTGCTCTGTGGAAGTTCTTGGAGGAGTTGGGTCGCCGGGGGGGGGGGGGGGGGGGGGGGGGGTAAAGCCCTTGGCCACACCGTCATTCTCCCGGTGCTCCAACGGACAAGTGTATTCCGGGGTAGCGGTGTGTCCCTGGAGGGGTATAATCAACGAGTTCGTTTGTTCAACAAGTTGGTGGAGAATGAGGTGTTCCGTCGGGAAGCAAAGCGAATCCGAGTGGCCCTTTTTACAGGGATGTTTTACTTTTACCAGGCCCCACCATCAGCAAAGTGCCAAGGCAAGCTGCTAAAATCTAGTTAGCAAGCAAAAGACATCTCAAAAATGCAGCAGAACTTCACAAAGAACAGGCAGCCACAGAAGTAATGCAAGCATTACCTGGTTTCTTTGCTGACAAGTTGCCATGCAATGTATTAGCAACACAAGAAGAGGCTTATGTTGTGTTATATCTTGAGCAGAAAAAAAAAACCTTGAGTTTTGGGGGCGAAGGCGGGGTCGGGGACGAGTTCTGAAGAAAAGAGCATGGTCGACAACAAGGGGAAATGTACTTGATATTGTACAAGATACAATCACTTGAAGGTTAGCTGCAGCTACCCAAAACCCAGGTTTGACTACAGTTTACACAAATTGATAGTCACTGTATCCGCCACCATGACAGATCAGGGAGCCATGATGCCACAATTCCGTGACAAACTAAAAGTGATGAGAGAAGAAAATTAGGAAGACCTTCCACAAGATGCCAATTGCTTTAACATCCTTTTTTGCCAAGATTATCGAACGAATGATAAAAGAAAGACTGCAATGGTATGTTGAAAAGCATGAATTGTCACCCAATTTTCTAAGTGGATTTAGGAAAGGTCGTAGTGTTACGGACAATAAACTGTAACAAACTCGCAATAGCAGTTTTCTTGGATGTCAAGAAAGCGTTCGATACTATTTGAATAAAGGGAGGGGACTGGTTTTTTAAATTAGCAAAAAATGGAATAGAAGGGAACATGCTAATGTACATGTATATAGAAAATTATCTAACAGCACAAACTTTTCAAGTACAAATTGGCAATACAGTATCTTAAACTTATAATATGCATAACTGGTTACTACAAAGGAGTGTTTTAAGTCCTCCTTTATCTAACAGATGACTGCGCGATATGGATATCAGGCGGGAACATTGTACAGATTACTGAAAAAATACAGAAATATTTGAATCTTTTAATTTGTTGGTTTGAAGAGTGGGGGTTTCGCTTTTAGGGGTTATATTTGATAAAAGGTTAACTTGGCAACCACATATCGAAAATGTAATCACAAGAAGTAAAAGAAAATTAAATATCTTAAGATGTCTAACTAGAACAAAGGTCACTGGCAGTGACAAGGTTATCCAGCTGCTCGAATGCTGTGACGAACCCTAGTACGTCAGCAAAGTGCCAAGGCAAGCAGGTAAAATCTGGTTAGCAAGCAAAGTACATCTGAAAAATGCAGTAGAACTCCACAAAGAACAGGCAGCCACAAAAGTAATGCAAGCATTACATGGTCAGGGAGCCACGATGCCACAATTCCATGACAAACTTAAAGTGATGAGAGAAGAAAATTCGGAAGACCTTCCACAAGATGCCAAATAGATCATGCTTGAATTTAGACGATTCTTTTGTAAGATGCATCTAAACATAAATTTTGCGGATGGGGTAAATACGACATTGAAAACATATGAAGACTTGGCAACTTTTCAAAAGAACAAGCACACAATCATTTCTAGTGAAGCAGGTAGGTGTAACAAAGACTGGTACATTTTATTTCATTTGCATTTACAGGCTCACTCCATCGAAACTACGATGTCTTCAGAAGACTCTTGTGTGAGAATGCATTGCTCCTGAAGACAGATAAGGACCCACTTCCATCCTCTTTCGTATATGTATGCTCGGACCATATTCACTTCCAAGAGGACATGATCAAATGTCATAGAGAGATCTGTCCTTTAAAAACAGTAAGTTTATGAAATAGACATCGCAAACTCTTGGCTTTCATTCATCATTCATTTTTTAACTGTACTACGATCACTGATGATATCTATGATCTACCAAGTAGGCCTAACCATTAATATCCGCTCGGACTTCTAGTAATGGTAAGCATATTCATTTTATTTTAGCAGAAACGATTGTTCCTACATTGGTGACCCCGACGTGATTGTTTTGGAATTGTTATTTTTACATATCTTGACTTTGATTTACCGGTATTCAATATGGATAACCCCTCTGGCCCTGAGCCAGCTGAACCACAAACTTGAGCTATGACCGCCACCATTAGCATCAAGCTATCCACGTACTGGCCCGATGTCCCGCTTATATGATTCGCTCAGGTTGAGGCACAATTTTCAACGAGAAACATCACCAGTGAGCAAGATAACTCGATACGATTATGTGGTGTTATCTCTTCATCCGGAGTATGCCGCGGTAGTGAGTGATCTTCTTGTGAATACTCCCTCGTCCAACCCATTCCAAGTGCTTAGTTCTTAACTTGTGAAGCGTACTTCAGCTTCAGAACAGAAAAGACTTCACCAACTTTTGACAGCCGAAGAGCTCGGCGACCAAACTCCTTCTCAGCTTTTGCGTCGCATGGAGCAATTACTTGGAGGAAAACAGTTAGGAGGATAGTATTTTAGACAGCTTTCTCTATAGCGTCTTGCTCATCCAGTTCAGACTGTCCTCGCTTCAAGCAGAGACCGGGTACAGCATGTTCGGTTGCGAGCTCCTAGCTGCCTACCTTAGTGTGAAGCATTCCCGTCATCTTTATGAAGATAAACAATGGCTTCATCAGAATATGATTCCTCGGATTCAGAATCTGACAATATTCCTCTAAAAGATTGCAGAAAAACTGAATGCTGGAGGGTTCTTTGGCATATTTAAAAACTTGGATGAAATTGATGATGAAGAGGATAGTGATCATGGTGATGAGAGTGAAAGCTCAGATACATGTAGTGAATTTGCTACGCAGATTGATGGTGATGATTCGGAGCAAGTATCAAAGGCAGTGCCAGGAAATGTAGATCTACTGCCGGAATTTGTACACCAATTCCAGACCCTGTGCCAATTCAAATTCCACCTCCACAAAGTCCAGCACAATCTGATCAAGAAGGTAGTCATGCTATCAAGCTTTGCTTACTTTGTCAACCCTCCTGTTTGATGTTTTCGATTAGTTACAGCCAGCCTTACTTTACTCTACATTATATTATTTTGAAATGTGTAAAATTTGCAATGTTTTGTTTGTTATATATCTGTGAAACTGCAAAAGAATAAGAAAATCTCGTAGAATTAAATAAATCAAATCAAGATTCAGATGAAGCATCTGCACCTGAGGCACCTGATGAGGAAGCAAAAGAACAACTCATTGCTGATCGTGGACCCCTCGTCGGCCCCTTGATCGTAGACGTGAACGAAATTGATCAAGAACACCGCCCCAAGTGGACTGAAAATGTGACAGACTTGGCAGGGAAACGATTTACCAGACCCCAACCAGGACCTACAAGAAATTTGGGACATTGTCAGAGGCAGAAACATTTCAACTCTTATTCACTGATGAGATTTTGGATGAAAATGTACTGCTAATTAACCCACAGGAACTTTGAGCGAAAAAAACGTACAAAAATCTCCAGCAAAACACAAATTGAAGTGGTATCCCCTTACCCATGCTGAACTCAAGACTCAATATATCCAAACTCTAGTCCATGACATAGCTTATGAGCTGAAAATTGATACCTTCATCAATGACATCTTTGCTACTGTGACTGCTGAACTCAAGACTCAGTATATCCAGACTCTAGTCCATGACGTAGCTTATGAGCTGAAAATTGATACCTTTATCAATGACATTTTTCGCTACTGTGACTGCTGAACTCAAGACTCAATATATCCAGACTCTAGTCCATGACGTAGCTTATGAGCTGAAAATTGATACCTTCATCAATGACATCTTTGCTACTGTGATGGAAGATTTGCTCCAAAAAGAACATCAGATCAACCCTTACATTCAGACTTTCGTCCTTTTGTCTTAAAATAAGGGTAATGAAATGACCTTTCAAATAATAATAATAATAGCTAGTTCTTTTATAGCGCTTTTCAGGACCGGAGGCCCTCTCAAAGCGCTTTACAGATGTATATATTATTACCCCGGTCATAGGATTCAGGCTTACTCGCACACAATGTATGCACATTCTCCACTCCCTGGGGAGCATTCCAGCCAGGCGTCTTTTTTTTTTTTACAAGCGCACACTTGCTAATCTAACCACATTAGCTTTCGCATCCTACCGGGTACCCATTTAACACCTGGGTGGAGAGTGGCAAATGTAGATCAATGTCTTGCCAAAGGACATTAGTGCCCCGGTGGGACTTGAACCGCGAACCTTGTGATCCACAGTCCGGTGACATATCCACTCGTCCACGACACCTCTACCAAATGATACCATACACAGCATATGTTCACACCCAAAAATCTGAAGTAGCTTTTAACCCATAGCATTACAGAGTTTTCAGCTTTTCCTCCTCAAATAGGCGCCAATTAATTTTAATTTCCACTCCAACAGTTTGAAGAAAATAAAAATTGTAACATGAACCAAAGTGAATGAAAATTAAAAAGTTTTTATAGAATAAATACCAATTTGTACAGGGAAATAGTTATTTTATAATTTTCACTGCATTGCCAATTTGAAGAGTTTAATGGTTAGCCACAAAAGTGCTCTTATTTGATAATGCCACAACATACTGCATTGAGAATGGACTCAAATGTTTCTGGGATTTTTTCTCTTTTTGCTCATTTCCTAGCATTTTTTATCAAAAGACGCAAGTGCTGACTACAGGGTTATTAAAAGAGCTCGCCACCCCGTACTAGCTCAACTCCCGATGACGCTAATACAGCTGAATACCGTCGTAGGTTTGGGCGCTACACAGAAATTTTTGCCCTAAGTGCGACCCCCCGCTATTAGATTAGTGTTGTAGAAGGCCTTGTCTTTCCTTAATTATAACAAAATTATATCGCTAATTCTAATAGGATCGATGCAAGTGATAAAATAACAAGCGGAATACTGCCATATGGAAATGACGAATGGAAAAATCTGAATACAACAGAAAAAATTGAGGGAAAATCTCACCTGTTCTTGAAGACTTTTTGCTCTGTTCAAGCCATCTCTGAGCTTAGATACAATTACAATTTCCAAGATGCACCATAGAGAAAGGTACGTGAAGGCTGCTATAATTATGAGTTTGTATGGCAGTATGGTACAGTATACTGGTACTCCTATTTGAATTTGTGTTATGCAATGATGTATATCTATCTACAGTATAATTTACTACCCCTTACCAACCATCCGCTAATGGCCAAGTTGAACGTTTCAATCAGACATTAATGGATTAATTCCAACTGGAGAAAAGAAAAATATTGCTACTGCAGGACACCTGACGATGGTTCCCTTATGATTCAGTGTGATGGGTGTGATGAATGGTTCCATGGTGAGTGTGTTGGTGTTACCCTGGCAGAGGGAATGAGCATTGATAAGTATTTATGTCCTTTCTGCAAGTGTAGGTAACCCATTTCCTTTCTTCTTTGCAGTCATGGAGACGTTGGAGATACATGCAGAAGGATTTGAAGGCAAAGGAGTAGGATCCCAGATCCCTTAAGTGTGAGTATGGGGCTACCCTGCACTGAACTTTTCAGAGGGGCAACCATAGTTTTTTCTTTAATTTTAGCCAGGTGGGATAACAAACTTTTGTATATTCAGTCTCTTTACTAATGAACAATTGACAGAACTTAGCAGAAGATTTAATAATATTGCTGTATTTGACTGTACCTCTGATTTTAATTCATCAGATGACCTTTTCAAAGTCCGGATAGATGTGGATGGTTTGAGGGCAAGTCTAAACACGCCAAAACACTGCCGGAGTACCTGAATGAGTCGGTTGGGATTGATGAATCTGGAAAATCATGCTCATTGCAATAATCTGGTGTTCTATGGAGAACCTGAGAAAGGTGATGTTTCTACACTCTCAGTCATGAAAGATGTGCTTAAAGATTTTTTTGGATTACCTTCAAAAGATCTCTGCAGTGAACGGTGCCATCGCACTCCTACAAATACTGCAGCTTGCCGTGAAGATCTTGACGCCAAGCCACAAATGATTCACATCTATTTAAATTCTTTCCAAGCCAAGGGAAAGATGAGACAAAGCTGTGTTAATAACTCCAAAGCTTCAAAATACAAGGAAAGGAAGATGTTTGTGTCTGATGACTATTCCTGAGCGAAAAATCGCTAATATCTTGCCAGCAGACGCGGTGGCTGTAGTGACATGTGTTTGCCCTGTGTGCAGAGCGTCAAGGAGAAGGTAGAAATTATTTTGGTTAATTATTTTATGTTTATGGTGATTTATTTTTCTCATTCTAATACATTTTGGCATTTACTTTTACCATGATTCATTTGGACTTCATTTGGACTTTATTACAAATCATGAAGTTCTGAATAAGTTTTGTTTGATAGTGCAGTAAAGCACTTCTTGAATACTGGACTTGTTCATGTCAGCTGGCCAAATTAGTGTTTAGTGTCAGAAATCAGTCTGTATTGTACGGAAGCGTTAAAGTGCCATTCTACTTGACGACATGACGAGATATTTTATCTTGTCAAGTCGACTTAATATCCATATCAAGTCGACATGTAAAGATATTTAACCTACCATGTCGACTTATCAACTTTTATTAGTCGACATGGCGAAATAAATTATCTTGCCAAGTCGACTTCACAAAAAGTTCATGTCGTCATGGCGACATAAGTTATCTTACCAAGTCGACTTCTAAAAAAATACATGTCGCCATGGCGACAAATATTATCTTACCAAGTCGACTACACAAAAAGTAATGTCGACATGGCGAAATAAATTATCTTGCCAAGTCGACTTCACAAAAAGTTCATGTCGTCATGGCGACATGTATTATCTTGCCAAGTCGACTTCACAAAAAAAGTTCATCTCGTAATAGCGACATAAATTATCTCACCAAGTCGACTTCCCAAAAAGTATATGTCGTCATGGCGAGATATGCAGCGCGCGTACGTGCAGTTCATTCACAGTCGACTAGTCTAGGTCTAGTGACTTTAGTCCTGATCCCGGTCCCTCGATCGCCTCACGATCACCATTGATTGTGCACCATACCCGTGCACAATATGGCTTCCGACAGCTGTAGCAGCCTGGATGAGGATTTTGTTCAGATTCTCGTCAGATCTCGCCATGACAACATGTACTTCTTACGAAGTCGACTTGGCAAGATATTTTTATTTCGCCATGACGACATATACTTTTTGGGAAGTCGACTTGGTAAGATAATTCATGTCATCATGACGACATACTTTCTGAGAAGTCGACTTGGCAAGATAATTTATTTCGCCATGACGACAGATACTTTTTGGGAAGTCGACTGGATAAGATAATTTATGTCGCCATGACGACATGAAATTTATGCGAAGTCAACTTGGCAAGATAACTTATTTCGCCATGACGACATGAACTTTTTGTGAAGTCGACTTGGCAAGATAATTTATTTCGCCATGTCGACTAAAAAAAGTTGATAAGTCGACATGGTAAGTTAAATATTTTTACATGTCGACATGATATGAATACTAAGTCAACTTGACAAGATGGAATATCTCGTCATTTTGTCAAGTAGAATGGCACTTTAACCCTTCCGTAGTATTGTTAATTTGTGTAATATGTATTTGGGCATTTCCACGGTAATAGGGTACTTCTGTGTGTGAAAGAATAAAGCGCTTACAGAAAAATTAAATAAATATCCTGTGGCTTTCTGTGTTTTTATTTTCATTGTTGATGGTATAAAGAAATAAAAAAGACAATTCCATGCACTAATAATGTCATTTGGTTGTGTTGTCCTCTTTTCTTTAATGATTATTATTAAAAATTCCAAAGTACAATCAGTAATTGTTGAGTGGTGTGATTTTGAGGGTGATGCAAATAAAAATTCTAAAAAGAAATTGATGTTTCATGTTTTGAAAAGAGATTTTGATGCGGGTGGATTACGGCATTGATCATAGTTACGGCGATTGAGCTTTAAAGAGAGAGAGTGAGAGAGTTGAAAATTACATTGGCTGAATGAGAGATTCTGTCCACCTGTGTTACGTACGTTCAGAGTGAATTTTCCCACAATTATTAGTTGTGTCACCCAACAGTTTTATGTGCTTTGCAACTCTTTTGATGAAGGTTGAAATGTAGACCAAGAAAAAAATCGTCAAAATAAACGCAAATAGAGATAAAATCTATTCAAAATTTGGAGTGCAATATTCGGTCCAACTCACGAACGTACGTAACAACTAAAAAAACGGACCGTGGCGTCCGCGAATATGACGCATGGATAATCCACGTATCAGTCAAGTGAACCAAGGCACTGCATGCAACGTTTGATTGTACTTGCAATCCATGCGCTGACTTCTACAATCGCGGGGCCGTGTAGCTCTATATAACTTCTGTCCAGTTTGTGCGTACGTTCACGGTTGCTGGTAGTTAGAACGACACGTACGCACGATGGACAGAAATGCTATTCGGTCTTATTTACGTACGTTTTTTCGCGGGGTTTCGTGAGCAGCAGACGACATCCGATCGTAATCATTGGAGTATCAACTCAACATTAGATTAGATCTAGGCTTTGAAAATCGTGGAATGGTACGTATTTGTTATTCAAAATCTTTTTGAAATACAGTAAAAGATCATGTTTCCGAAAATGAGTCATGTGTAACTTTAGTGGTGTACGATTATATTTTCCTCTTCTTGTCTAGCTAGTGGTCTGCTAGTGCTAAATTTTAACGTGTAGTGATATTATTACATTACAGTCCCATATGTAGCTTTTCATGTATGCAACACTGGTAACTCTCGCCGATCTCGCATTTTCAATAGGTGCAACCGCAACCCAATTTAGCTGCAGATGATACCCAGAATGATGTGATGACCACCAGACCAACTGGAGATGATACCCAGAATGATGTGGAGATCACCGCCGACAGACCAGTGGCAGATGTTCACCAAGCAGCCGATGAGTACCAATGTGGAGACTTTGTATTGATCAATATATCAGTCGGCAAACGTGGAAAAATTCTGGAATACGTTGGAGAAGTAAGTTTGTATGGTTTCATTTACTTGCAAATTATTTTTATGCTTAGCTGTGAAATAAATGTAATACGAAAATCATTACAAATTTCTTGTTAAGAGGATTGTTGAGGAATTTATTTAACATTGGAATAACCTGCACAATAAATTATTTTACTTTTCAATGGATGACATTTTATACACAAGAATTATTTCATTATTGAGCCTACACTAAATTATACAAAATATTGCATCTACATTACCTGAGTCATATCATTGCATTGATACTTTACAATCCTTCTGTTAATCATTTAATGCCTTCATGTTTCAAAACCAGGAAATATCTATCTGTTTGGAGTGAAAATGTGCATGATTACTATTAACGTGAGAAAATCTGAACAAGTCAAAAAAGAAAAAAAATACAAATACATTTAAATTTGAATTAGCACAATGGATTTTAAACTCACGATTTTTTTCATCTTTAATTCTTTTGATTTCAGGTGAAAGATGTTGTGGGAGAAGATCTTGTCATCAAGTACATGGCCAAGTCGGAGTCTCATCCGGGGCTATTTATATGGCCAGCACGTGAGGATGTGTCTCGGGAATGTAGAAAACAGATAGTGAAGAAAATGCCTAACCCTGTCCTTCGGGAAGACATCAGCAGCACTAGATTACAATTTTTCACCTTTGCAGAACTCTCCCCAGAATCATGACTTGCTCCATACAATTTATGAATGTCTTATTACTCATAGATTGGTTAATAATGAATCGAGTCATTCCAACTTCTTCAGAGAACTTGTGTAAAGTCCAGCACACCCGATATCGTCCCAAACCATCGGTTTTAAAATCCTTACAATATTCTCTGACTCTCGTGTAAGAGGAAAACCTAGAACTGCGTGTATTGATGTTAAAAAGGAGACATGATTAAATGGCTGGATCGTGCTAATTTATTGTTCTCACGTTGTACTTCAGTAAGGTTTTAATCACCTCAATAGACTTGTGTGTTATGAAAACAAATAAAATTCATGGAAAATTGGCACAAAGACACAATTATTTACTGAAAATATTTAATGAATGCTCAATTGAATTGATGCATTATAATATGCAAAATAACCCATTGAGTATGCAGTGTCAAATCTTTTTTGAATTTCAGATCTGAATTACATCAAAATGATTGTTATAAATACATGTATTTGATTTGAACTTACTTGAAATGAATGATCATAATTTTGAGCAAAAATAGAATTAAATAGAGCATTTATGAAAAATGAAGAAATATAAAAGGTAAATATCATACACATTGTAGTTAGCAGATAAAAGAACTCTAGAATAAAAGCATACAAATCCTGTATAGACAATTTGTAATTAACGACATGATGTTTGTGAAATATCAATGAATAGTGTTTGCCTTTTATTCTATATTGTGTCAACTACTTTCCCAGTCTTGATGGGAATTGATTACAAGCTAATGCTTACATGTAGTGAAATGCATGCTCAATTGTTTAACAGTCTGTTATTATTGGGCTCTGTGTCCGAGACACATTTTGGCTACTGACTATTAAAGACCTAGACTACTTTTAAATTTGTATATAAGGTTTTGTGAAATTTCAATTTCAATGAAATGATTAGTGTTTGCCTTTTATTCTATATTGTGCCAACTTCTTTCCATGTGACTATAGTTACTATCTTATCATTTTTTAAATTTGAATTTGCAATTCAGGTGTTCATAATTGTATAAATTTATATAAATGGTTCATCCATGGACAATTTAAGTTGTACACTGAAGTTTGTTGCTTGCTTTTGCAGTTGGTCAAAAGATTAATGAGAGGTGAGATAAGATTTCAAAACTATCAATTAATCTATTTTACAGATTTACAAACCGTATATCAGTTGGCAAATTCATTGATTTCATTATACTTAATAATTAAAGACCATTCACATTTCACTTATTCTCCACAATTTAAAATGATCAATACAATGAAACATTTTAACCTATGCAACGCTTATGAATATATTGATTATGAAATATGTGTCCCAAAACAGAATTCAAACAAACGTTTAGATGCCTGTTCTGTCCAACCGTTACATACGTTCCCTATTCTTATTAATTGGTTCCAACATGCATCAACAATTATAACTTCTAGATTTTATTTTATCCTGGAATATATGAACATAGCATCAACATCCAGTACACAGTGACACCAAATTAATAGAGTACGCACCATTAAAACATGTGTGAAAGATTTATTCATTCAATAATACATGATACATTGCAAACATTCCTTAAATATTTGTTTTTCTGATTCACAAAAAAAGCTATAAAATTTTTTTAAAAAAGAAGCAAATTCTGAGATGATTGTTAAATTGATGTTTTATTGATACTTAACTCACATGAATGAACATTGCATTTATATATTGAGCAAATAATAAATCAGAGGTAATTTAAGTTACAAATTTCTGTCCAATGTTACATACGTTCCCCCCAATACATGTCCTACTTTACGACCTCTGCAAAGTTAACATGAAATCACACTTATCTTTTCCCTCATAAATATATAGAATATAGATATTGGACAAGCAAAGGGAGAAATTTGATTGCTCTAGGGGTGAAAACAATTTTGACCATATTTACATCACAGAAGTACCCACTTAACATGGAAATGCCCATTTATATGGGACAGCCAGTGTATGTGCCTCTTTACATTAGATAGACTGATAAGTGTTTCTCTCTCTTTTCTCACCAATGGCTTTGTGGGATAGAGACATGGTTCCTCCCAAGAGACCTTTATACCCTTTTCACATCTATTTTTCTTAACCCCGGACTATCCTTAACCCCATACTATCCTTAACCCCATACTATTTTTTTTGCTGTTCACATCTATTTTCTTAACCCCGGACTATGTGCTTAGCCGGGGTTAAGAAATTTCACGCGATTCACACTACGTTCGCCTTAGCCCCGGACTATTCGATAGCTCATGAATATTAATGCTTTTGCTACCGCGCATGCGCCTTTCGACTAAATGAAGGGGAAAAACCCGCGCGCTAAATATATGAACTGCATGCATAGCGCGCGATAAATGCAAATTCACGACCACACGACCACGCTGTCTGTGATTGGCTGTTGCTTAGCCCCGCTTCTCCTTAGCCCGGTTCGGATTCACACTACGCAGCTTAGCACCACAATTGCCCGGCTAACCCCGCAATTGCCCGGCTAACCCTGCTATTTTGCAGGGCCAGATAGTCCCGTACTATTTGTGGGGTTAGCCCACTTTGGCAAAACGTAATGTGAACAGAAAGCCGGCTAAAATTACCCCGGGTAATTGGTGGGGCTAAGGAAGGAATTGGTGGGGCTAAGAGCCCCCTTAGCCCCACCTATTTCCCGGGGTTAAGCAATATTTGGTAGATGTGAAAAGGGTATTAGAGGCTCCCAAGGGTGCTGATGTAGCCAGACCAGACGGCGGCTCCAGTTCAGGCAACCTCCCCCCACGGAAGCGACGTGCGGGGAGATATGCTGGCAAGCCTAGGACGCACCACATGCAGCAATGTCCTTACCCCCTCTTGCTCAGTACAGACAGTGCGTATATCCATCAAGAAAATGGGAAGAATCAACAGAAACAATTAAATAACATCATTTACACATGATTCTAAATTCTATCTCAATTTCCTCAGATTTCAAGGCAGCAGAGTACGATGTGATCTTCATTTCTCTAGAGGCTATTGAGGTATGGAGGGAAACATGGCGGTCCAGGATATACAAAGACGCCAAGTGCCTCCTGGCCATTAATGAAGCACATTGTCTGACAACTTGGTAAAACAACAAGGCAGCAGAATATGATGTGATCTTCATTTCTCCGGAGGCCATTGAGGTATGGAGGGACACATGGCAATCCAGGATACACAAAGAAGCCAAGTGCCTCCTGGCTATTGATGAAGCACATTGCCTGACAACTTGGTAAAAAAACAAGGCAGCAAAATATGTGATCTTCATTTCTCCAGAGGCCATTGAGGTATGGAGGGACACATGGCGGTCCAGGATATAGAAAGAAGCCAAGTGCCTCATGGCCATTGATGAAGCACATTGTCTAACCATCTTGGTAAAAAAACAAGGCAGCAGAATATGATGTGATCTTCATTTCTCCAGAGGCCATTGAGGTATGGAGGGACACATGGTGGTCTAGGATATACAAAGAAGCTAAGTGCCTCCTGGCCATTGATAAAGCACATTTTCTGACAACTTGGTAAAAAAACAAGGCAGCAAAATATGTAGTGATCTTCATTTCTCCAGAGGCCATTGAGGTATGGAGGGACACGTGGCGGTCCAGGATATACAAAGACGCCAAGTGCCTCCTGGCCATTGATGAAGCACATTGTCGGACAACTTGGTAAAAAAACAAGGCAGCAGAATACGATGTGATCTTCATTTCTCCGGAGGCCATTGAGGTATGGAGGGACACATGGCGGTCCAAGATATACAAAGAAGCCAAGTGCCTCCTGGCCATTGATGAAGCACATTATCTGACAACTTGGTAAAAAAACAAGGCAGCAGAATACGATGTGATCTTCATTTCTCCAGAGGCCATTAAAGTATGGAGAGACACATGGCGGTCCAGGATATACAAAGACGCCAAGTGCCTCCTGGCCATTGGTGAAGCACATTATCTGACAACTTGGTAAAAAAACAAGGCAGCAGAATACGATGTGATCTTCATTTCTCCAGAGGCCATTGAGGTATGGAGGGACACATGGCGGTCTAGGATATACAAGAAGCCAAGTGCCTCCTGGCCATTGATGAAGCACATTGTCTAACCATCTTGGTAAAAAAACAAGGCAGCAAAATACGTAGTGATCTTCATTTCTCCAGAGGCCATTGAGGTATGGAGGACACATGGTGGTCCACGATATACAAAGAAGCCAAGTGCCTCCTGGCCATTGATTAAGCACATTGTCTAACCATCTTGGTAAAAAAACAAGGCAGCAGAATACGATGTGATCTTCATTTCTGCAGAGGCCATTGAGGTATGGAGGACACATGGTGGTCCAGGATATACAAAGAAGCCAAGTGCCTCCTGGCCATTGATTAAGCACATTGTCTAACATCTTGGTAAAAAAAAAAAAAAAGTGTATTTCATATCATTAGCTGCTATGTGATTTGGGTTATGTGGATACAATTAAAGATTTGCCAACATCGAAGAATGAAAAAGTATTTATGGAGCTCTCACACTCTGCCGTGTAGGCCTACCGTCCACCTGCCGGGCTATTAAAAAACAACAGAGTCCAGAACGTTGGGTTTTGAGCAAACTTGTCCCCGGCCGCAAAAAAAAATTCATAAAATTAATCTTTTCACCGTTTCGTTGCCATCTTCTGACCGTTCTCACCAGGCGCATACCGGGTGTTGAACGTGCTTCTACCGTCTTCACCGCCCAGATTGAATTTTGTTGAAAATTTTGGCCGTTTCCATACCGGGCCCATACCGGGTCTCGAACGTGTGCACCGGGTTTGTAGCAGCCACCTACCAGTCACTTTAATAGCGTCCCCTCACCGCTCGGAGCGTCCTGTGAGCGAGTCCCCGGACTGCTGACGTCATGACACGACTGCCATAAATACCCCGATTTGAACGGCAACGGTCAGTCCGCTCTCCATTTTTCTTCAAGGAAACTCCACGACACTTCTCCTCATCTTTTGATCACGTATTTACTGCATTATACACCGATTCGGGCGACTTCTGGTGGAAGTGCGCCCTCATAAGGTGACGCCATAACTGGGGGGCGTCTGACTGCAGCTAGCTAGCTTACATTGCATTGCAGCGCATGCAAAAGTGCAGCGCGCAAAAATATATGCAAGAAAATTAAGCACTGACGTAGTGCAGTTTGATACCGTATGTTGCATTGACCTCGTCAGCTCAATTAGATCTTCTTCTTCTTCTTCACTTGGTTGTCTCCAGTTTGGAGAACTGCAGGTGGTGCAGGATGACATATATATCATGCAGGACTACGTTGACATGGTGACATAATACTACGTTTAACATGTAAGTCAAGTACAAAACTGAGAGAAGAGTTGTAACTGTTAGTGTTAGAGTTCTAATAATATTTGCCGGGACACACAGAGCGTGTGTACGGTGTACCGTTGTAACGTTACGTTAGACCTATGTTGAACAGACATAGATCTAGATTCTAACTGGTCTAACGTTAACAGTTAGGGATCTAACAGTTAAATCTAATAATTTCATAATGGATATTATACTAGAGGTTATAAGGAAATGGTGTGTTCATTTATTTAGGAGTTCTTTCGTGGATGGAACTTGTAGTTGGGTGGTACGGTCGTGAAGGTGGTCAGCTGCAGTGGTCTGAGTGATCAGGACAGGGACCGTGTGGGCCTGCCTTGATAGACAGTTCTTCTGGTACTCTATTTCAGGAGGTACGATTACACAATGTTTAATGTTTAAATGTTTTCATGATCATTGTTGTATGAAGACTTGCATGAAAATAACTGAATATTCTATTGGTTAATAATTGGTGATCTATACAGTAAATTCAAGTATAATGTTATCCATGAATTTTATGTTTAATTCATTTATGATATCTATACATATGACACAGAGAGTGATGTTATATATTGTAAAGCAAACTGGTTAATAATGGATTGGGTCGTGTGTTATAAGGTCGCCGCCTTTTGCGTTACATGCCAAGTTTACTACGCACAGCGCCTTCTTCACTTCAAAAACCTGTATCTCCTAAAGTATACACCCTACCCTACAAAAGTATACATTTTCTGAAAGGAAATTCCACAAGGAATCTAAATCTGCATTAAAAAAGTATACCATGTGCAAGATAAAAAAGTTACGAGGACTAGACATCTAGTCTGAAGAAATTTACATTTTTTTTTAAATCTCATTGTTTTTATCATAACAATATCTACATCACCTAAATGGCAAAAATATTGTTATATTCTGGTAGAAGACATTAAAACCTTTCAAACAATGTATAATTCCCTATGGTTTACAGTTTTAGAATTAAAAATACTATGACCTGAACTTTAGCATTAAACAAATAGCGATTTTCAAAGTTGTTAGGTGGTTGGATCTTGCCAAGTACTATTGCAACATTAAACCCATTTTTTAGTGATATGATGGTATAAAGCAGCTCATAAGCTTCAATTTGGTACCAAATTTATAGTCATATTCCAAAAATTGGCAGAGAAATTTAAGTTTTCCCAAAATCAACCACAAAATCTCAAATTTCCCATTGACTTTGTACAGGCTGCGCCGCTTCCGGCACCACCCCTACTGTCCCCTACTTAAAACGTCGTAACTCCGCCAGAGTCTAGAACAATGATATTTCACAGGGAGCTAGCACACTAATTGAGCTTCAAAATGATACCAAACTTGTTAAATAAACTTTATTACTTTTGGAAAAATTTACAAATTAATGCTGAAAAATAGCAAAGAGCGTAACAGCACCACCCTATTTGGGTGGCGAGCTCATAACACACGACCGTTGTTTCTTGAAAGCCTTATTGTTGGGATGATTTAAATTAATCAAGCTAATAGTGTCATTTTCTTCTGTTAGGACAAAGAAAGAATGATGTATTGAGTATTTGAATTATCAGATGCTAAGTTAGATATAATATTAATAAGGTGAAGACTAATGTGACAAGACAAAGCTTTGTTGTTGGTCTTTAAAAGTGACCTCTTTATTGGTAAAAGGAATAAGTGAGAAAAACTTGATTGCACTTGGTTGATTTAGGGTTCATTCTTTTTATTATAGGTGTTCAGCTTAATACGAGATGATGAGCTGTATAGCTATTGATTTGAAGACATCGTAGCTACAACTCCCCTCCCCCTCCCCCTACAATTTCCAGACCAAGATGGATAATTGGGTCGACGACATTCGCCAGTGGCCTTTTTTAACAGATCAAGGTAGGCCTGTGATTTGTACCACAAACAATCACGAAGACGAAGTAAAAAACAATTCTTTTTATACTAGTCTAAGTTAAGTCTAACAAGTCACAATCGAGATCGGCAGCCTTGCATACCTTCAGTGACTCGATCAAACAATCTAAAGTTATGGGGCACTTGACGGCGAGGCTACTCGTCAGCTGCTGCTTCGCGACCGGCGGAGAGCCGCTGATTGTAAATTGTCCGTCGCTCCAGTGGAGTTTCGGAGTAAAATATTTGTGTTAATTCACCTTTTTCTCGTCAGTTTTTTTAGATGATAAATGATATGGATACCGTCTTCCCTTTTCAATTCTATAGACTAAAGTAAAGTGAATTGTTTATTGTTATTGTCTTCACTTCGTGAATTTTTACAAATAATGGTTCACATTTGTACAGTCAACAAAAAAAGAAATTGACCAGTAATGTATTTAAAAACTGAAAATGAAGATGAATACATCATTAAATCCTGATCATCCATGCACACTGATGCATGACATTGATAAATTGCGTTCACATGCAATTTACTTACTTATAATAGATCTAGATCTAGACCTTCTAGACTCTAGATCTAGATCTATATGAATTATAATTTTTTATTTGTTTTAATTCTTTTTAAATAAATTAAATATGGATTCATGGGGGGATTACAGCAATGGCCATATCTAACAGAAGAAGGTATGATGCAATATGTAGTTCAATTACTTTTTACTTAATTTTCTTCATAAAAAAGTGTTAATCTGATAGAGTATTGCCAATGGGGTTTCAACAGGGAAGATCCGCTTCATGTTGCTGCATTGCGGTATGTGTGTGTGTGCAATTGTGCATGGAGCACCCGGGAGAGCGAGATAAAGAGTGACTGCAATCATGTTCAAGCATGATAAAAAGATGATAGGTCTACCATTAAAAAAAAAAAAAATGTTTTGTTAAGTTTCTTTTCAAAGATCTATGTGCTTACAATGCGAATGTTGAAATTAATAAAATAAAATGAAATGCAGGAACAAGCAAAATACGTCTCAAAATGAAATTAAATTTAAAAAAAACAACTTTAAACTGTAAAATCATTAGGCATATGTACTACATAAGAGGAATTAAATAGTATTTACTTTTTCACCCTTTTTTCGGTAGGTATCCAGGATTACTTCTTAAAGCGTTTGGCCTGTGATGAGCAACCTAATGCTAATTACCGATCTCTGATTGAGGGACAAAACTATCTAAGATCTGGATGGGTTGGTCAAATAACACACGGTTTGCGAAGTACAGAGGTCATCGTGCTGAAGGGAAAAGTGCGATACTCCCAATCCATTAACAAGTACCATGAAGTAGAAGTGACAATACAAAGAGTTGTTGCTACCTTGTTTGGCGTTTAACAATAAGGGATAGAGCAACGTCGATCTGGCGCTGCTCAGTGGCTGCCGGGCTCACGATCAATTGGGCAAAAAGAATTTCCGTTTCGGTTTAATAAAATTTGGAGTGGACTATTAGGCTATTATTATTATTATTAAATACTTGAAGTTAAATGTGACTGTATGGCTAACCAAGGCAGATGCTGCAGCCACACAGCAGGTCTTGCTTACAAGATTAACCAAGCCGCTCTCAAAGGCTACATTGGTGTAGCATGTACAGATGTGGAATGCTTGTGGAATAAGTCAACATCAACAAATGTTCTCCCAGACTCTGTTGAAAACATCCGTGCTGGAGACAACACTGTTGCCAAATCAACATTTGCAATAACCACGGCATTCGAAACAGATGAAGATGTCATCAGACATTTAACAACTGATCCAGTGGCTGGCCTGGCTGCCATCCCTGGGACAATCTTAAATCATGTTCTCAAGGCTACGGCAGTGAACTTTTCATCAGATAAGGCCCATTTAGGCCTACCGAAGAACCATGGCAATTGTGAGGCCCGAGATTGTGATTTTTGTAACAAGGTGTATGAGAAGTACATTACCTGTGATGAGCAGCAGCGTGAACACCTTGCAACAGCTACCACATCTCAAGATTCAGCACTATGGCAAGATCAACGCAAGATCCAAATTACAAGTAGTGGGGCTTTTGAAGTGCCGAAGAAGGCCGACCCAAAGAATTGGTTGGACAGAAAACTCAATAACAGATTCATGGGAAACTCCTCTACTCGCTATGGCCAAGAATGTGAACCGATAGCTCGGAGCTACTATGAGCACACCTTCCGCAAGAAAATTACATCTACTGGACTGGTTGTCCATCCAACTGACAACTGGCTGGGTGCTAGCCTTGATGGGATTGTGGACAGAGACACAATTTTAGAGATAAAATGCCCAACTGAAAAGAAACTTGAACGGTACAATGGCAGTTTAACCAACATGCTTCAGGCCAACAAATATGATGTACGTGTTGTGAATGGAAACTACGTTCTACGCCAAACTACAGCTGGTTCTGGCTATTATTACCAGGTGCAAATAGCAATGCATTGTTCTGGTAAAAGTAAGTGTAATTTTCTTGAAACATCAAACATTTTCAAGAAATTAAAGTCTTAAAAATTCACTTTATAGTAGTTATGTTAACAGATAGACCAACACATTCTGCCCTGTAAATTGTGGTCAGGAGCATATAAAGTTTACCCGAAGATAACATTAAATTACCGGTATTTGCACTATTTTGAGCCCTTATCTCATTCAGTAAAACGAATTTCAGTAAATAGATTTGTGTTTATTTAAGCATCTTATTTTTGTCAATTTTTGTTTTCAAAACAGAATCACTGTGGCTGTGCCATGTAAGTGCAAGCTGATTCCAGTTGGTTTGAAGTCCTGAACATATAACTTATGATATTTAAACTGCTGAATGTGTTTGATAAAAATATGTTTTGAAACATATATATTTTTTTGCAAACTTGCTATGCTCCACCCTAAGGAAACAACATACACCTGTCCAGATTGACTTTTGTTGAAAATTTTGGCCGTTTCCATACCGGGCCCATACCGGGTCTCGAACGTGTGCACCGGGTTTGTAGCAGCCACCTACCAGTCACTTAGCGTCCCCTCACCGCTCGGAGCGTCCTGTGAGCGAGTCCCCGGACTGCTGACGTCATGACACGACTGCCATAAATACCCCGATTTGAACGGCAACGGTCAGTCCGCTCTCCATTTTTCATCACCGTTCTGTAGCGGGTTATGAGCGTGTTGTGAACGTGTTCATACAGTGTGACCGTTTTCATAACGTATTCATACCGTCCTCATACCGTTCAACACCGTCCTCTTGCCGCTTACTTGCGGCCGGTGCCAGCCGGCCAAAGTTTTGAACATGCCCAAAACTTTCGCCGGGTCCCACCGGGTGTAAATAAGCGCCACCGCCCTATTAACGTGTTGCCCGCTTTGATAACGAACCACCGTGTGCCCTCGCCGTTCTCCACCGTCCGCAGACATTTTCGCGCACGGTGGCACACGGTAGGCCTACACGGCAGAGTGTGAGAGTCACTTTAGATTTTGTATGTGAGTGAGGGGAAGGGGGAGGGGGGGGGGGGGGGGGGAGGGGGAGGGGGAGGTGTGGGGCAGGGCTGAAGATGGGGAATGTGATATGATGTCTCTGTTGTATTAGCCTTATAAACCATATCAAATTTATTTTCTAATGCAGATATGCTGAACAATAATAACTGAAAGAAAAGCATGCAGCAATTCAGCTTTGATCCTAAAGTTAATTTTTTCTTTCTCAACTTCTTGTCCATATTTAGGAGCTCTGAAGATTTCAGGCCCGCCTTCAAGAAAGTCAAAGACCTTGCAGCTCTGCTGCAGGGTGTTACATTCGTCTGCACTGCTACATGTATCAACCAAATGCAAAGAGAGATCATTGAGATCACAGGACTAAATGAAGATTTCAGGCCCGCCTTCAAGAAAGTCAAAGACCTTGCAGCTCTGCTGCAGGGTGTTACATTCGTCTGCACTGCTACATGTATCAACCAAATGCAAAGAGAGATCATTGAGATCACAGGACTAAATGAAGATTTCAGGCCCGCCTTCAAGAAAGTCAAAGACCTTGCAGCTCTGCTGCAGGGTGTTACATTCGTCTGCACTGCTACATGTATCAACCAAATGCAAAGAGAGATCATTGAGATCACAGGACTAAATGAAGATTTCAGGCCCGCCTTCAAGAAAGTCAAAGACCTTGCAGCTCTGCTGCAGGGTGTTACATTCGTCTGCACTGCTACATGTATCAACCAAATGCAAAGAGAGATCATTGAGATCACAGGACTAAATGAAGATTTCAGGCCCGCCTTCAAGAAAGTCAAAGACCTTGCAGCTCTGCTGCAGGGTGTTACATTCGTCTGCACTTCTACATGTATCAACCAAATGCAGAGGGAGATCATTGAGATCACAGGAATAAATGAAGATTTTTATCTCTATGATGTTTGTAGATTCATGTGGCTATATTTTTGGTATGTTAGGCTCTTATACTAATTAAGCTACAAAATGAGGCTAAATAGGTGTGCAGTTGTATGCCATGTTTTGCACAATAAGCTTAAACATCTGCCATGTGCTCTCGGGGTTAGTTGAAACATTGGGCATGGGGTTTATTGGAACATGTTCCAACCAACCCCATCATATTAATTAAATGTAAAGTGAATGCATATTACTGTATTTTTTAAAATTTAAACATAGTATTATTATATGGACAACCCAATTTTGTTTATTCACATGAAAGCATGCTGTAGTAGGCTTAGGCCTACCCACATAATGATAATTGTGTTAAATGTAGGCCTACGCTAGTAAATAGGCCCTATTTACAAATTCGGATCATGTTGAAATCAAATGTAGTTTTTTATGCACAAATTTCCAATTCCCACTTTTAGGGCATCTCCTGAACTTTTTTAAAGATCACAAAAATCATCTCGAAGTTGCACTCGAATGAAGGTCAGTGATATGTGCATAGTTTAGGGTTGGGCCTATTTTTCTAGGAATGTTCTGGCCTATTTTTGGCAGGGAAACAAATGGTAATTGGCAATTGATATTTGGCCTATTTCTAGATTTTACATTGTGAATATCCACTTAGGATTTTTGTTGTCTCTTTTCAGCAATCCACGAAAGATGCCACGAACATACAAAAGGAAGACTACCCGTGGGCAGACCCCACCAGATGTGATACGAAGAGCTGTAATAGAAGTCCTAGTTAATCATAGGCCATGCCGCACCGTTGCAACCGAGTTCGAAATACCACATGTCAGCCTTCGAAGATACGTCTTCGAAGATACGTCTTCAAAGTACGAGACAGCCAGGACCGTTCCAGAGGCCTACCAAATGCCCCGGAGAATAACATTCCAGCTGACAACAATGCCAACAACATTCCTGCTGACAACGATGCCAACAACATTCCTGCTGACAACGATGCCAACAACAATCCTGCTGACAACGATGCCGACAACAATCCTGCTGACAACGACGATAACGACCCGGACCCTGTAGCGGAAGCAAATGCCTTAAAACAGAGGGGAAAAAAAGAAAAATATCTAAATCAAAAGCTATCAGAGCTCAAGTTGCAAGTTAAAAAGAGTTCAATAAAGAGGCCAACTCAATTACTGAGCTGGAAAGCAAATCATTTGGGAACTTCTTCAGTAGGAGTAGATAAGCATAACAAAAGAGTTCCCTGAAAAAAATCACTGCAGCAACTCTTGTGAGAAGAGCAGTTAAGAACAGAAAAGGAGGGGAAGAGATAGCATCCAGCAATTCTTTGGTTATGTATTGCCCTTCATGCAAAGTCATCAGCAGCATACAATATTTTGTGAGGCTCAGGATTTTTTACCTTGCCTCATCAGACAACGCTCTTCCAGTACACCCATTTTACAAACAACCCACCAGGACTGAATGCCAAGTTTTTTTTCAGCGCGTCTGCAGTGACATCAAGTTCAGCTCATTGCGCCAGCATGAACAAAAATATCATGTTATCAATAGATGAGATGAAGATCAGTGAAGGACTGGTGTTTTCTCAACCGACTGGAGGAATTGTGGGCTTTACAAGTCTTGAAACTCTAAATGATGAATTGCAGACGTATGCGAGGAATTGCGAAAGAACTCAAGAACCCAAGATGGCGAGCCACATTCTGTCATGATCCGTGCAATATGTGCCTCGTACCGAAGTCCTTTCGCATATTTTGCTACATTGGGAGCCACAAGTGACCAGTTATACTGGATTGTAATGGAACCCATCGAATATCTAACTCATAAAGGTTTTTGTGGGCGGGGCATTGGAAGCGATGGTGCTGCACCCAA